TGTAAAACAATCCCATATTTCTTGAAGCTTTTGTCTCAGTTAGGTGGTTGTACGAGCAGGATGTTGTCGTAGAACCTTTTTCATCTCGTGCCACAAAGTTTCAATAGGTGACAGATCTGGACTGCTAGAAATCCATTTCGAAAGTGGTACATTATTTTCTTCCATCCACTTTATAGCCTTTTTTGAGGTATGGCACGCTGCACCATCTTGCTGAAACACAAAATGTTGGCCGGATGTCAAACATTCTTCCATCACTGGTAAAAGCGATTCTTCTAAAATTGCCAAATATTTGTTTGTATCCACATTTCCATCAATAAAATGAAGTTTTCCTACTCCTTTTGATGACATACTGCCCCAGACCATAATGGATGCTGGAAATTTTACTTTTCTCTTTAGACAGTCAACATGGAATGCTTCATTTTTTTGCGAATAACTCTACTGCGACTGTCACCAACACAAACTTTGAATCGGGCCTCATCACTCCATTGTATTGCACACCATTGTTGAGGTGTCCATTGTCTATGTTCTTTAGCCCATCTAAGCCGATTTTTCTTTTGCAGTGGAGTTAATAGTGGCTTTTCTTTGACCTATAAACAAGTTGTGCAACTTTAGGGTTTTTATTTCACTTTTTTTATAAGAAAACTTACCTTGCAGGTGCTAAATCAGTTTGTGGGCGCCTCTCTATGAGTTGTGGACCTCGAAATTCTCCTTCCAACGGCCTCACTCCACAGAGCACTTAATTGTAAATAATTGGCACGCCTGTTTTTCACGATTATTCTTCTTAATGCTCTTCCGTCGGCATTTGTGATATTACTTTTTCTCACATATCGTAGCTTAATATTAACTGAACCAGTTACGTTATATCTTCTAACAATATTGCTCACACTGTACCGCGATAAGTCTAACAAAGTTGCAATTTCTGAGTTTGATTTCCCAGAATTAAAAAATTTAATTATCAGTAACCGAATGGTCTCACTAATAACCTTTCCTCTACCCATTTTGAAAACCTTAACTACCCAAAACTATTTTAAACGTATTCTGACAGCTGTGATTAATAAAAATAATTGTCATGGCTTTTATTTTTCACAGCCACCTATGCGTTATAGACTTATTTTGCATTGAAATGAAAATAGGGTGATATGCTGTAATTGCAACATGTGTTATTTTTATGCTGCAAATTTGATTAGGGCGTGATAAAGTTGGTGTTTTCTACTATATATTATCAAAATATTCCTTGTTAATATTTTAAACCTTTAAGACCCTGCTACATTTTTACTATTTGTGTTTGATAAGAACAAAACTAAGATTTCAATAGTTGGGCCAACTGAAGTGGGAAGGGGCTCGTATATACACTACAGACTCAGAATTCTGCAACCACCAAAGCATGCTGGTCATTGAGCGTGTCGTTGAGTCATTCCTCCACAGATAACGGTCATAGCGATTAATAGCGGAATTAACTATTTGCACACCAGGAACTATCTAGTCAGCAAGTTGACATTTTGTCGGTTTTTTGACACTACACTTGTATAGTTTTTTCAAGTAATAACTCTGCAGGTGTGGAAGTTGGTGGTGTCACTCCACCAAAAGTAAAAAAGTATAAATATTTGATAAACATCATGGATTATTTATGTATACTCAAAACTAGCGTTTACCCACAATTTTGTCTGCGCGGGTGAACCTTTTTAACCGCAGCTGGTTAAAAAATACTCTAGGCCGTTGCCCGAGGTCCCACACCATAATAGATCATACACACTTTCGCATTTATAATATTAGTAAGCTAGTTTTTGTGGGGGACTTGTCGAACAAGATGGACTCGATTGATTTAATTTTGAATTGTTTATTTTTCAACGATAATTGTTTAAAATAAGCTTGAATTAAAGGCACAGGAAGACATCCACATCGTAGAATTGTGCCTTAGTTCTAAGAGGGGTTGCAAAGTTTAGTAGTGCAGAGCCCTTTTCTGGTTGTGCTACTGTACTCTTATATCCCTTCTTTGGAGATATACACAAAGTGAAAAGATAAAGTTGGTGAGATCATCTTAGTTTGATTATCTAATCATTCAAACTGAAGTAATCTAACGTCAAATTCCGTCAAAAATGCAAATTAGAAGTCATTTAACAAATTCCTTGTTTGCCAAGTTTGTACAAGCGATCTTTGCAAACCAGTATAATTTCATATTTTTTATTAAACAAATGGACATTTTGAATGTTAGACGAACGATAGTCAACATTCTTATCGTCGTCTCTCAGTAGTCTTAGATCTCAAATAAATATTTTTTAAGCTTGGTCCCTGAGATTGCAACGTTGCATATTTCATTGCTATCTCACTGAAGATACAAGATATTTTTTGGAGTGGCGATATAATATCTGGCCTTGATTTCGATAACAGTTCAAATAGGTAATTATTAACCAACTATATTAATTGATGGATTTTACGGTATTCTGAAACTATATGTGTTTCACTATTCGTATTATTTCTGTAGTAACATATAGCTACAGATACTACAGATTGTTGTAAAATGCAATTTTCAAGCAGCTTGAAAGATTAATGTTAGCCGGAAGGTATATATGCACGTTTGTTTATACATATTCAATAAAAATAGGTACTTTCGACGAAAGAATATTAAATAAAATACATAAGGCTTCAGCTGACAGCCTACCGCTCTCCTTCCTATTGGTGATCGATCACCTTATGTAGTAGTGTAGTAACGGGATACGGTATATTTAGAGTTAATCCATCAATAATACTGTCTGTAGCAATGGTAATGTTTACTAACATCCAATATGTAGAACTTCTCCAAACATTGCTTTTCTGACAATCCAGAACGGTCATATACCGCGCACTAGATTGGTTCAGTATGTAGCTGAGCAATATATATTAATTTGTTTGGATGACAGTATTTGAAAGTCCTAGATAGTCAGAAACTCTAGAAGTAACTAATAGCTAATAGGTATGGTACTTGAGCGTAGTCACTGGGAAACCTTATTCTACACCATCTGTTTATCATTTTATGAGAAAATCTTTTGAGAGCAGAACTATCCCGAGACGATCTGATAGTCTTATATGATTTTTGTATCAGTGCTAATTGAAGATTGTAAAGTGAAATTGCATATAATTGCAGTCATATATGCAGTAATGGTATTTTTATAGATATTGATGATGATTATGGTCATTTAAGAATTCTATTACCTTGTATCACAGCAATTTGATCAAATGTCAATTCAATTGTTTTCACGTGCAATTTCAAATGGGAGAGTCGACGATTGTCGTGAATGTATCAGACTCAAAGAACATGAGCCAATTTTTTCACGTAGGCTTAGCCTTGGTCTGCCTACTTAACGTTAGCTTGTTACCAATTTCGAATTTCGTATACACAATGACTTGATGAATGGATGTGAAAGAAATATTATTTTAAATTCAGTTTGGTGAGCATGGGTTACATTAAGTGGGTTTATCGTATTATAGGAAATATTAATATTTTTTATTTTGAGGTATTTAATTTAGAAATAGTCTATAATAGAGTATATGGGAAAATTAAAACAAAATTCATTTAAAAAGAATGCACTTTCAAGTTAACAGTACAAATGTTTGTGAGAAAAGGGATCGGTGGTTATAGTGATGTCACACCTGTTATCTGTTGACTATTAAAGAACGTGTTAGGCAGATCTCTCAGGTAATCGCCTGACATACACCTTATTTCACGAGTATCCATCACGCTTTGAGGAGAACAGCTGATCGCAAAATGTGTTTGTGTTAATTTGTAACGTTGGCAATAGTGACCGAGTTCAGAGCTGATGTTCACATATCAGGATTATATTTTTAAGTGGGTGGGAAATGTGGCAATAAAATGTACAAGTACAGATGTAGAAAAGTTTATTAGAAAATTATTATAGTACATCTTGGATTTATTGATTAATGGCATGTCAATCGAACCGGTTGCATAGTCCTTTCCAGAAGCTGTAAATTTACCTGTAAAAATAATATAGACACACGTGTTTCTGGTTTATTGTCCGTTATTAGTGTAACGTAATTCAATTACAGATTAAGTATGTGCAGAACCTATCATAAAAATTAATGAATACAGCTTGTTTAAAATACCACACTGATGTAAAAATTAAAAAATTATAAACTACATTTCTTATTTTCCTCCCACAAGCGCTATCAGCTTCCACGCGACGTTTGCGTTTCCTTTAGATTTTTGCAGAGTTCTCAACAGTTGGCCCATGCCTGTATTCACGAACACTGTATTCTCCCAGTTGTATACATTTCATGACTTCCTGCAGTAGTTGTACATTTAACTTACATTTCTCTATTTATTACTTGTTAGAATTATGTTCAGACCTAATTGAGGGAATCGAACCTCTATCAACTCGGTCATATACTGCCACACATTCTGAACTAAATGTATGGCTGTTTCGTCGCCCTTTAAGATCATATTGTGATTCAAGTTCTAAAAAGTAGATATAATTAATATAGTCAAAAACTGTTCATCTTATTTTATTTCTACCTGACTTGAAATGTAGTCATGGTCATTAGCAGCCATTGTGCTTGTAGCGTTTCTTTCGTATGCAAAGAAACTTTTTTAAATAAAAGAGTTGTTAGCAAGTACGAAATTAATCTGTAGCGTACAAAGAACCATACAAAATACTGGTCTGACTTCCTGGACTTCATCGATCCATTGGAATTAATTATATGTCCTTTGGGAAATTTTTAAATATCACTAGATAACTAGCTGTCATTGTCCCGTGATGGCTACTCGTAAAATAGGGTGTATATCATAAGAGTTAACTGGAACCTCAAATATCTTGCCATGGACAAGAGCCAAGTCGTTGACGCTGATTCTTGAATAAAGTTCTGTTCTGCGTCGATTTTAACTCCTGTTTATTGGATTAAAATACTGTTACATAAAATAAAAACATGCAGTGACCCTTACTACCAATATCCTTGAAAACATTTTGCATCTTGAGCATTATTGATTTATTATCAAATGTTATTTTCAGATTGGTCGGATACAACGTCAGTGGTGACGTTACGTAGCGTCAGCCTAGCCTCTCCGTCGGCTTCTGACTACCACAATAACCACCATCTGCCCTCGTATCTGAGCTTAGCCTGTACCGTTAGCGGATATTCCCCCACTACCAACTACGATCCAGTACGATTAGCCAGGTCCAGAGATGCTTCACCACTCAGGTAAATATTGTCCTAACCAGTAGGTAATAATATGACCACAGCCGACGTCAACTACGAGCCGTGAACAAAGAAATCTGGCAACGTAGGTGGTAGTGTTACTCCCGCCGCTGCTTGCTGCATCGACGCAACTCGTGCTCAAAACTGAGAAAACATAACCTTTTCACTTTGTGATTTTGGAATCCCAGAGGCTGTAATTAAGAGATAAGCTTGTTTTCTAAGCTTCACAGTGTGTGTATGTGTTCTAAGTAATCGGTGACTATAATATATGAGAAATAGACGCCAGTTGTAGTGCTTCTGTGCTTTAAAAATAAACTAAGAAGTGTGACTGTGGCTGTTCGCGCCTCAGGACGCTAAGGATTTCAACTATTGAAAACGGACAAATTAAGGTTGTATTTTTATTTTTTCATTTATCAAGTATTTGACGCAGACAATATGCCTCGTTGTTGCTGTGTTCCTTTATGCAATGCAAACTATAATTCTGCTTTGAAAACAGAAAGCTATGTTTCAACTTTTCGCTTCCCAAGTACCGAAAGTCTGAAAAACAAATGGCAATTCCCAGAAAAAATTGGACACCTTCAAAATGTTCAGCTGTGTGTAGTCGTCATTTTAGAGAATCGGAAATCATCAGGACAGAAAATATAGTTTTGGCGGATGGAACAGTCCAAAATAATATACCTTTGAAATATCTAAAATTGAAAGAAAATGCTGTTCCCTCCATTTTCCCAAACTTGCCATCATATCTTTCAAAAACTGAAGCACCCAAAAGAACTGACCCAATGCAAAGAAAACAAAAATTAATTGAGAAACATGAAAAAGCTATCCAGAATTTCGATGACATGGATAAGATCAAAGATAAATTCAGTTCAAAAATGTGGATTTGAAGTTATTTGTGTTGTTACTGATAATCACCGAATTAATAGAGCAATGTTCAGGAAATTAGCAAAGGATTCATCAAAAAATTATTCTATTCCAAATCCACATAATCCTGATAAGAACATATATTTAACTTATGATGTTGTGCATATTTTCAAGAGTATCAGAAATAATTGGATTAATTTAAAAAACCTAGACAAAACTTTTGTATATCCTAATTTTGACAATAATGATATTATTCAGTATGCTAAATTTGAAAACATTCGTGCTGTATATCAATTGGAAAAAGAAGCTGTAGTTAAGAAAGCATATAAATTAAATTATAAAAGATTGCATCCAAATTCATTTGAAAGGCAAAATGTAAATTTTGTAGGTAATTTATTCCATCACTCAACAATAGCTGCTATGAAAGAATTAAAGTTTAATGATGCTGCACACTTTTTGGAAATAATCAGGAATTGGTGGGATATTGTCAGTAATACAAGTGTAATAAAAGGAGAATTGAAGCGAAACGAATTTTGTAAGCCTATTACCAATAAATATGATTATAGAGTACAATTTTTAAAAAAATTCCTGATATGGTTAGAAAAATGGCATAATCTAGAGAATAATAATGGACACCTGACACCAGAAACGTATACAGCTCTATATCAAACTTTTTGATTTCTTGGATACCAAACAAAATCCTGAAGTTCTGGATATATTCAATGAAGTATTTGAGACAAATTACTTAGCCAATTGTGACATAGAGGATAGTACTAAGACTTATATATCTGGATATGCTTAACACGCTATCTCTAAAAACCTAAACTGCGAGATATGCAAATCGCTAATAGTTAAAGAAAAAGGTTCATTAACAACAAATGTTTATTTTGATCATTTGCAAAGAGGAGGACTGTCAATTCCAACCAGTTGTGTACCAATCATATTCTACCATATGTATGCCATTTTTGAATCTATTATTAATGTAGATATATTGGAAATTTTCTTCTTGAAAAGCAATAATCAAAAATTTATTTTGTGTGAGTTAACCTTGCTCAGCATTCAGTCTGACTTTATATACAGTGAATTTTCTTTAACTTGCATCTGTGGCCGCAATTATGCAGTTATTTTATCTAAGCTTTTGTCTATTTTTTCAAACATAATTTTGAATGATTATGTAAAATTGAAAAATAACAGTAAAACTGAAAGTAAATATATTAAAAACAAACAGGTAACTCCACATTTCCAAGCTGGGCCTGTTGGAACACAGTGTGCTGACACCAAAAAAACGTAAACTAAATACTTTTAATTAGGTTAACTGCATTAGCGACTCATATATATCACGAACATTTCGTATTTTTAAATTTTTTAGAGCTATTTCATATTCAGACGATTTGTATCGAATCGAACTGTCCTCTTTTCCAAAATTAAATTTAGTTCTTGAACGTTACACGGAGACGGAGCACACAGCCGCTGGCGGCCGACGTTCACAGGTAGCACTACCATGCCGTCCGAGCGCGGTGTTGCCTTTCATCACGGCTCGTAGTTGACGTCGGCAGTGATATGACATTTTAAACATTGAATACTCCAATTCCACATATTTTCTGAGTTTTTGTCTCGCTATGACGATCCCACTATACCAGAATTATAGTATACTCGGGTACTGCTGCTAACGCGGCGTGCCTTTCTATTGGCAAAATCGGTGCGCGCAGATCCAGCCGTTAGCAGTGGTGTACGATATATTATATTACTCTCCTCTGTTTTAGCACCAGACTGTAAGATCGTAACCGACCCAAACCATGTACAGTCTGCCAAACTCAAAAGTTCGGCAGTTTTGACCTAACAAACAAGATAAAAAAACGTTTTAAAATAAACTAATCTTTAAATACTCCTTATGGTCCTGAGAAGAGAAAGGCTTTAACTTGAATTTAGATATTTGGCGACCTCAAAAATTTTGCTTTTAACAGAGATCTTGAGCATTCAATATACTGTTCGGTAATCCAGCTCAAATTTGTTTAAACATTTTTTTTAAATCAATGTTTTTTTTTGTCTAGCCTCTAGTAACTGTTCTGAAAAGTTGACTATTTTCGAATTATACACGATTTAATGTATGAAAACCCATAAAAATGTGTATATTCAATGCGTAAAAACTTGAAAATTGCAAATTTTGAGGTCGTCAAGAATCTAAATTAAAGTTTAGGTCTTGCTCTATAAGACTCCGAAGAGTATTTTGAGATTAAATTATATTATTGCAATTTTTAACCTTGTCTTTTGGACCAACATTGGCGAACTTTTGATTTTCGAAGACTACAACATCGTGATGTGTCATGGTCGCGGTCGAAACGCGTTTCGATGGCGGTTAGCGGGATCTCGCAGACAAATTATGGAAGTTATAATAAATCTAGGTACGGTTTGTAATCCTGCATTTAGATGCTGTGGCGAAATATGAAGTTTTGGAATCATCATTTTATAACCAATTGCAACTTGAAAATATCATAATTCGGACTTTTCGTTTATTATAACAGTTGTATTGAAATGGGATGTTTACCATTCAAATATTATGCGGTTGGTGCACTGCTGCGTCTCGAGCTGGATACAATCCTTGGATAATCCTTGTATGATACAGTATAGTGAACAAAAGCCTTAATCTGTATTGGGTCAATCAATAGAGCTTAATGCCCCGTACAAAAAAATATATTTATAGGAAACTGCTGAGGCAGGCGGCATTAAAGAACAGTGTGTAATCTAATAGGGATGTTTTTGTCATACACAAATGATAAACTAGTATTATCAACTAATACTTCCGACAGATCGAGTAATCTTTATTGTTTTGTTTTCCAAGAAACTAACGCACCCCATGGTTAGAGCATATAGTTGGATGGTTTTTCAGTAAATTACATCTTATTCTCCAAGCTGGTGTCTTCAATAGTAGCATAGCTTTTATATAATACAAAGTGTTGCTGTACATTTTTTTCCGTAAAAAACACTGTAGGTCTATCTAGCAGCTACCGAAGTTGATTAAAATAAAACCACATTGCCTTTTGTTATTTTATCTTTCTCATGGAGAATCAAAAAGCAACAAAACTGTAGAACGATAAACAAAACGCATCTAAAGTCGAAAAGTATGAAGTTTCCCGTTTCACTTATACATAATGTTAATTTAGGCTTACTTCTTCCCAAATCCGAGTTGATCCTGACACGACATTGATTAGTTTTCATATGTGTATCATTCAAATATGTAATGTCAAAATATAGTTAAAATTTTAACTCAATTGTAGAGAACTGAAGTAAATCTTAAGCGAAAAAAATATGCCTAGTAGTTGCAAGACTGAATGTTTACTTCACCGAGTACCCGGTAATTGGTAATAGTGTTTCTCGCGTTCTTCGTGCGTCTTTAGGATCCTCGTATTTCTTCAAAATTCGATATTAACAATCTATGAGTTATGGAGGAGTTAAGGACAAGGAGATAGACGTGAGGCAAAGAAACTGATTCATTTCGTCGATCATGTGGGATAATTTTTCATGTGTCATACAACATCCAAATGAATAGTGACTAATATGTTTTCTTCCTTGCGAGAGCTGAGATTGTAAGGCTGTTAGTTAGGTTTGTCACAATCTCAGAGTAGGGGTGTTGTACTGTCATAGGTTATATTTTTCCATCATTTTTAATTGTTACAGGTAATAATAAGTAAATAATGGTGTCATTTAATATGTCTGACACAACTTTTATACAGGCTGTTCGAAAAATAGACGGATATTTCAGAGGATGATTCGTTGCTAAAAAAAATATTAAAAAAAGTTTCTATAAACATGGGTCCGTTAATGCAGTTTTCAAGATACAGGGTGATAAATTAAAAACAAAAATTAATATCTTATTCTATTTAGTCGATTCTGTTCTGAATTTAGCCCTAAATAGATTGAAATTATTTGGCCCAATGGCGTCCCGAGGGACATCTTAGCGAATATTATTGGCAAAAACATGTATGCCTTTTTTGTAACTTTAATATTTATTGTTTGATTAATCATCTAAAAATACAACTTCTTTACCTCTTGTATTTTTTAAAAATGGTTATTAGAGGAATAATTTTCTAGACTCTGAATGCATTGGATAGGGCATCTTATATTCTTATACTGCGTGGTGATAGTGATGTACAATATGCATAGGTCAGTTGCAAGATCTGCTGCGAAGTGTAGCGGCTTCCATTTTCAGAATCGACTGCGGTGGTGTCGGCGATTTGACATCCGCACACCAGCGTCCTACGGGCCCCACTTATTCCGTGCACAACAATCTGCTGTCGCCGCCTAACCTGGTCCCACTACCCCCGACTGCCAATACTGCGACCACCACAAGCTGTCTTAAGGGCGACAAAATGGAAAACGCCACTACCGCGCTTGCTGCGCACCACCACGGCGAGTTCTACGCTTCGAAGACGGTCTCATTTGTTAGCGGCAAGGAGACAAGGTTCAGTTCGGCTTTCTCTCATGTGAGTTGATCTTTTATTTATATTTTCCGAAATGAGACCTAAGTTGAGCTATGTTGTTTCGTAAGATTACCGATATTATTGAATCGCTTAAACCCATCCATTCGCGTGGTTGCGTTAACTTTCAATTTTTGCAAAAAGACCGCAAATGGTGAATGTGTCGATTGTTGTTCTGAGACCAAATACTCGAAGAATCAGTATACTAAAAGAAATATTTGGTTAAAACACCTTGTCGAAAGGTGTTGGGAGGTCTCATGTTGATCGTGACCATGTTTATGCTGGCATCGATCTGGCACGAGTTGCTCGAGAATTTATTAAACTTGAAGGTTAGGTAGCTTTTCAAGGGCTCAGTTTGACTTACTTTTAATGTATTTGGAAATCTACAGAGATTATCGATTAAATGCAAGACTTACGTTTCCCTTAAAAATACTCACATTGCAAAAAATGTTGAATCAGATACAAGTTGCAAATGATTCCTTTTGTATGGTTTACCAACAGTCCATACGCCATTCGAAGTACTTTGTTACAAAACGTTTCTAACAGCGTTTAGATTCGCTGATAAAAACGACTTTTTAAATCAAGAATTCTAAACTTTTTCAGCTTGTATTACATAGAGGATTCCTTGAATCCACAGTATTGTTAGATCAGTTATGTATCAATTGGAAAACGACTTAACGTCTGGGAGGAAATCAGTGGCAGCTGTCCACAGAATTCGCAAATGAATCTCGTTTAGTTGCCAAGACAAGATGGGTCGTTTGAAAGTTATTCAAATACTGCATGTACCAAACCTAGGAACCTTTACAAAATAGCCCATAACCTAATTGATAGGTACCAGCCTACGATTATTATGGAAGGCAGATTAGCGCATCAGCTATTAGCGACCGCGCAAGAGGAAACCGCCGGTCTAGCATTAGACGAGGTAGAAGGTTTCCGCCAAAAGCATTTATTCACATTTTTAAAACCCAATAAATTGTCGACTATAGATATCTTGTCAAAAACTTCATAAAAGTAACGATTAATCTGCATTACTTTAGATGTAAATCTGGTGTCCGAACTCTAGACATAATGTGGTTTTTTGACATGCTCTCTATTACACTGGAGTTTGGTTATCCCTCGAACACGTTGACTCAAATGTCGGAAGCAGGCCAAAACAAGAAAACTCAAATTAATAGTCATTAAATTACAATACACTGAACCTTCGTTCACATTAGCCCACTTTTTGTTTTCCTTCCACCTTTAAAATCAACATGATGTTTACGTTGTAAACGACAAGGAAAACAAGCACGAGTTTTCTGTGAGCTTGGAAAGCTACCTGTCCTATTGAGTTTTCTGGATTCTCGAGCAAGTCGTGCCAGATCTATTCCAGCATAAATATATGCAAATAAACTTGCCTTGAAAATGACCTTGTAAGGATCATTGTCACCATCAACATGACACCTCCGAATACATTGTTTTAACGAAATAATCACTATTTTTGCAAATCAGGCAAACTTTATCCGCCTATTTCTTAGAAACTCATATGATTCCTGTGGTACCATAGATAGTTTTGTTTGGTAAGGCAAGAAATTATCATACCAAATGTTTAGACAAATCGACTTGGACCCATTTTCCATACGTTTTGTGCGTGGTCCTTTACCAATATTTTGCGTAAAAGTTGAATGTTATGACTTTAATACAGGCTTGGCTTAGTGATATCTACTTTTTTAATGTGAAAATCATATAAAACCATTTATTCTGACAAACTGCCTGAATAAATTCTTTCCCTACAATAGATTTATAATCTAAACTGCGACTTGGTTTTTGTTGTTTTTATGCTTTTGAATACTGGATAATTTACGGAACATCCGACGCTTGACTTGCTAATGTATAGGGTTTTAGTTAACCCTCAAGCTTTGCACACATTCACATGTGTATGTTTGCCTATCACCGGGCAGAAAAGTATATATATATATATATATATATATATCATGTCTGGGTTATGAGTGAATACCACATACCAACCGATGGGGGTTCAATCGCGGTACATTGCAAAATTCACATATCACATTGCTGGAGTTGATTTTACCTTTTGATAATTTTTTTCTGAAAGCTGCATAGACATTAATTTTCTGTCAGGTATTTGATAACTGTGAAAGCAGATCTGTCTTATCTAAGACATACTCTACTTATTATGTGCGGTTCAGCACAAAAAACATTTCCGCGCAAAACGTCTGAACTGTTAATGTCGTTCGTGTAAATGTAGTAATGTCAGTGGTATCCTTTTCAAATGAATAAGCTCCGAGCTTTAAATATATGTTGTTTTGAAATCATATCTCAGAACTATCCATTAGTATAAACGATTAAATATTTTCTTGAAAAATGCCAGAAAACATAGGAAATGCCTTAAAATGAATTAAGTAATAAAATACGCATGATTCTATTATCCAAGTCAGATATAAAAAGCTATGAAATATGATTGATAATACAAGAGAAGAAGCTCGCTAATCTGTCATTGCAAGTGAATGCATTTTTTTTGTATAATAGTATGATTATGTATTTTAATATCAAAAGCTCGAACTATCCAGATAATGTTTTCAATGATTTAATCGTATACATTGTTATGATAAGCAGGACAGTGTGGACAGTTGCATCGAAAATGGACATCATGCGATACAAAGGAAAATGGTGAGCTTTGAAAGCAAAAACATCACCTCCTGCAATGGGCAAGCTAGATGTACATCGGAAACGGCACTCAAACAGGAATATACCAATGGAAACGAGACAAAATCATTCATACAGGTATGTATTGTCTAGGTATAGTAAAAAAACTGTCCGTGCAATTATTATGAAAAACTTGTGAAAACAATGCAGTACCCTTAAAAACACCCACGTGCGGTTCGACCAAAGAAATGCATTCAAGAGATATACCAACTCCAACTGTTTTAATGATGAAATCTAACTGCATTTATCATTAGAAAATTTTAAAGTGTGCTATGGAAACATAATGACTTCGTTGACTAGTACTCTGCAGCTGAATATCAGCGCTGTCTGGAAGGTGCTTTAGTTAACCTACTGAATATCATCCAAATGAATTGACTGCGAATTGAAGTTTGGCCAACAAAGTCATTATCAGACCTGCTGTTACTTGCGGATTCACAGCTAAGTAGTTTTTGGATGTAATGCACATGGGAACCTTGCAAATAACAAAAAACAGATCCTTAAAAACAATTACCAATACCCCATAGTAAAGAGACGTTACGTTGCCTGACTCAGTGGACTACACAGTCGAGCAATTTCGCAAACATTGCAAACCACGGCTCGCAACTGTGACCAAGGTTACCAAAATTTACACTTACATGAAATGTCATCTCTCCTACTTTATACATTATTCCAGTTATACCGAAACACTTTTTACAGTTGCGGGGATACTGGCGAGTCACTTTTGATTGAAAACATTCACTTCTCTCACTATTTCCGCCCTCGCTGTACATATTGTAGTTTATGAACGTTTTCGAATGAGCCCTTCTCTCAAGCCCCACGAAATTAAATGAGATTTCTCTTTGAATTAACTATGACAGAGTTGTTCATGTACAGAGTTGTCCCAAGCTGAGCTGTATTACATGAAAATTGCCTTGTACAAGTAACTGTTACAGTTAACTTCCACCAATTGAGCTTAAATTTTGGATGCCTGTCTAGTTCGTGTGACAATACATAATAAATCAACTGCCGCCATTTTGAATCTAATATGGCGTACACTACATAATGGCGATTTATCATTTCCATAGTATATATGATATGGATATCAAATGAAAGAGGTTCATGAGAGAAACACAATAGGCAAATTAGCGTCATTCTAAATGTAATATGACGGAGGCCGTAATTTGGCGATGGGCATCAGATAACAAGGCTTGAAACACAATAAGCAGTGTCGTGTCGTCATTTCAAATCAAGTATGTGGACCGCCGCAAGATGGCATTTATAATTTCTATAGTTACTCATATGATATGGTTATCGACTGTCAGAGCTTGATGAGAGAGATACAGTAAGCAACGAGTCGTCATTCTAGTATGGCGGCCGCCGCAAAATATCGATAATTTCCATAGTCACCGGTCACCCCCATATTATAGATATCAAATGAAAGGTATTGATGAAACACACTAAGCAAAGTGACGTCAATCTAATCCGATATGGCGCACGTTTAATATGATGAAGCCAGAAAGTGGCTATGGGAACCCTTTGCATAGAGACTGACGGGATTCCTAAAGACAAGTACTCTAGTATTGTGGTCTGATGATTAAGTTAGTCAGCTATTGTGTAATCTATAATATCTATATCAAATTTCAACCTTTCAGCAGTAGACAGTTTGCTAGAATGTAGGTTCAATCAATTGGGCACAAACACTTAATAGATATACGTATGTACGTCGTCCGCATTTACAAGAATTTGTTATAATTTTCATGTTTCTGTTATGCATCATATGCATTTGTTCTTAAAATATGCATACATATAAATAATTACTTTTGCTTTCATCAATAGAAAAGTAACAAAGACCTTATACGAGTTATTCTGTCTTTTTCACACATTTTTATTTATATTATCTGTTTAAATTTGGTATTATGATATTCAGTCTCTCAGAAGATTATTTAATTTTTTATGTATAAACTCACTATTTTCTCACTACTTTTTTTTTAATCTTACTTTTCTCACTTAAACTCATGTACTGGGCTGCCAGCGCCCGTGCAGATGGACTTGATTTTTTTTCTTTTCCCCTTACTTCTTTTCTATTTCCTCTACTTTTTCTTGACCTTGTCTGGTTTCTGGATCGACAGACCATTAGACTGACAATTACTACTTGCATACGTTCACACTAGTGACTATATGCTAAACGCAAATATATCACGGAGTCGGTTGATGAAAATTGACAAATCGACAATAAACTGACAATCACCAAGAGTAAACATAAAAAGCTAAAGCATACTCCAGACAGCGTTGACATTCAGCAGCTCAATGTTGATGACCGCGGCCATTTTTTATATTGGCTCTCTAATTTTTTAGTTAACTATTTACACAATTGAGCTTTTTTTTTCATTAGCAAAGAGTTGAAAGACTGTACGGCCCGGGAGCCCTGGCACAGGGATTTTTCGTGTCGAAACGCCAAAAAAGTAGATTATCCGAGTCAGAGGAAAGCAACCATAACAACAATGAATCGGATAGGCACTCAAAGTCGCTCACTGACAAATCATTCAATGAAGAGGGCGAAGAACCTGTGATTAAACAGAGTACTAGTACGCCGACGTTACCGGTAAGCGATGTGTTAAGTAATGTCGTAAATGTTCGATTAACGATCCATTAATGTAAACATAAAAGATAGTACCGATTATGTTTTGATTAACAGTTTTGTAAACCCGCTCACCTTATTCTGCTATGAGGAATCAGGTACATTGTTTATTTTTTGCGGAGACAAGGACATTCCAAATTGGATACTGCAACAAGATCTTATATCATGAAAGTTGTATCTATAATATTGGACACAACTTATCATAGTAAATACTATTAAAAAAGATAGTAGAGGCAATTAGGTCTTTAGAGAAATCTTGTTTTTAATTAGTATTTATTGTCTTAGATTAAGGCTCATTTGTCTTCTAATAGCTTATTGTAATACATGACACATGATTCACCACAATTTCTCTTGCTAGTAACTTCCTAAAGACATAACTATGTTTTCTGCTAATAACAAATAAAAATAAAATATTTACTACCTGAATCAACTTGATTGTTTACTAAATGCTTTAGTACTACTACTTTTCTATAGGTTCTGCGACACTTGAGGCCAGAATTCAGAGCACAATTACCTATTATCAGTCCCAAGAAAACAGAAGGTCATCTTCAAAAAAGCGTAACAATACCTAAGTTGAAGGATGAAGTCAATATGAATGGTCATGATAAATCAAAGAAACCTGATGACATTATAAGCTGTCCTGAACCTACGAATGGTCATGTAGAAAGTTACGCCAACGAAGGTAAGATATATATACAGGGTGTCCCAGAAGTCGAAGTCAAGCCGAAACCGGGTGATAGGCAAAGTCATAACAGCTATCAGAAAAATATTTAAAAAATTTTTATGTATGTGTTTTGAAAATTATAGGTCTTTGAAAAAGATATAGAAATTTCACACCCTACGGCAGTCTGTCGACTCCTGTTACTATAAATATTAACTTTTTTTGGATTTTATTTTTACAATGTAATGATGAATAATGCATCTTCAAACTGGTGTCTCAACCTTACTGCCAACTTTTCTCGTTCAGGAAAAATTGCCACTTATTTCCCAACCAAGTATTCCAAAGTCAAACTTTGCTCAACTTTAAGTGGCTGTACTGGAAAAAATGTACTACGAGAGTTTGGCAAGAAAACTTTAAAAGTTGGCGCATTTAATAACGATTCCAAAATGGTATAACACTTAGAAGATTGCTCGTTAACTTATGCACAATTTTTATTTGAAAAAAAAACTGATGAAAATTTTTCAAAATTTCCTAATTAAACAGCGATTATGAAAACGCACAAGGACCCTTAAGGATAACTGTTTGCACAACAGTGGGTGTCAAAATGCTGCTGATGATGATTTACCTTTACAGCAAATGCTCAAACTGTTTTCCTTCAGCCGCAATACACGCTCGACATCTTCTTAGAAAAGATCGGGTTATTAAACGAACGAATCCACGGTTATTAACAAACTCAGCTGCTTCCAATAGTCTTTGCCGTAGCTCAGCTACATTTTGAATCGGCTTGAAATACACTTTTTCTTTTACAGTTCCCCAGTAAAAAAATCTAAAGGATTCAAATCAGGTGATCGGGCTGGCCACGGTATTGTACCAGACCGCCTTATCCATCTGCCTGGAAAGTTTTGATCGAGATACTCTCTCACTGAGAGTGCATAGTGCGCTGGGCAGCCATCATGCTGAAACCACATGTCCCTTTAAATTTTGGGTTCGTGAACTGGACTGTTGATCGCTTGTGATTTGGATTTGGACTGTTTAATTGCTCTTCAAAACAACATTTGCTTTCCTTAGACTATCTTTGATAGTGTAATTGTGAAGTGCCGCTATGTCCGTGTACACCGTACAAGAATATGCTAACATGCACCTCATTTATGGGGAATGCAGATGCAACGCTAGTGCTGCAGCGAGACTTTACTGTGAGAGGTACCCGAATGCAGCTCGTCATCCAGATCATCGACTGTTCACAAATGTGCACCGCTTACTGTTCTCAGAGGGCCAACTACCAAACCAATCACACGGTGGTGGAAGATCTTTCCTTCCTTATGAAGACATGGTGCTAGGAGCTGTCGAAGAAGACCCGAGTACTTCAGTGCGTGCAATAGAACTAAAAACAGGTGTGCCCAAAAGTACAGCCCATAGAATCTTGCAAAAAAACGTGCTCCATCCATACCACGTACAGCGTGTTCAAGCTCTTCTGCCCCGGGATTATGAGCCCCGAGTTGCTTTTTGTCGCACAATGTTAGAAAGACACAGGGAAGATCCACGGTTCTTTGAAAAAAATTTATGGTCAGATGAGACCACATTTAAGAAAGATGGGTACATGAACCTGCATAACTTACACGAGTGGCACGTAGCAAACCCACATTTGATGAGAGAAGATAAATCTCAATATCGCTTCAAGATAAACCATTGGGCAGGAATTTTAAATGGTAGAATAATCGGTCCGTTTGAGTTCCCAGAGACTTTGACTGCTGAGGTTTATTTAGGTTTTTTGCAAAATCATTTAGAAAATTTATTGGAGGACGTGCCACTGAGTATTTAAAGGGACCTGTGGTTTCAGCATGATGGCTGCCCAGCGCACTATGCACTCTCAGTGAGAGAGTATCTCGATCAAAACTTTCCAGGCAGATGGATAGGGCGGTCTGGTACAATACCGTGGCCAGCCCGGTCACCAGATTTGAATCCGTTAGATTTTTTTTACTGGGGAACTGTAAAAGAAAAAGTGTATTTCAAGCCGATTCAAAATATAGCTGAGCTACGGCAAAGACTATTGGAAGCAGCTGAGTTTGTTAATAACAGTGGATTCGCTCGTTTAATAACCCGATCTTTTTTAAGATGTCGAGCGTGTATTGCGGCTGAAGGAAAACAGTTTGAGCATTTGCTGTAAAGGTAAATCATCATCATCAGCATTTTGACGCCCACTGTTGTGCAAACAGTTATCCTTAAGGGTCCTTGTGCGTTTTCATAATCGCTGTTTAATTAGGAAATTTTGAAAAATTTTCATCAGTTTTTCTTCAAATAAAAATTGGGCATAAGTTAACGAGTAATCTTCTAAGTGTTATACCATTTTGGAATCCTTATTAAATGCGCCAACTTTTAAGGTTACTTGCCAAACTCTCGTAGTACATTTTTTCCAGTACAGCCACTTAAAGTTGAGCAAAGTTTGACTTTGGAATACTTGGTTGGGAAATAAGTGGCAATTTTTCCTGAACGAGAAAAGTTGGCAGTAAGGTTGAGACAACAGTTTGAAGATGAATTATTCATCATTACATTGTAAAAATAAAATCCAAAAAAAGCTAATATTTGTAGTAACAGGAGTTGACATACTGCCGTAGGGTGTGAAATTTCTATATTTTTTTAAAGACCTATAATTTTCAAAACACATACATAAAATTTTTTTAAATATTTTTCTGATAGCTGTTATGACTTTGCCTATCACCCGGTTTCGGCTTGACGTCGACTTCTGGGACACCCTGTATATATATATATATACATATATAATAGTAATTAGAATATACATTTATGCACTCAAGTACAAAATAAATGCAACAAGCAACATTTTGGTCAAATTCGGAACGTCCTATTTTTTTATTGTACTCGATTTTATTGATTTTTTCGTATCTGATTCTTTGATTGTAGGAACGGTTTGACTTGTACAGTGTAAATGAAAATGTTGTTTGATTACCCCAACTTTCAGTCACCCTGTGGTGTGACTCCAGTTGCCAGTCAGACTGCAATGCTTTCCATTAACAAGAACCATATTTCCTTTATAACCTGAACACGATGTATAATACTTTCACGCTTTAACATCTTGAAATATAGTGTCAGGCAATGACCATATCTCTTTTATCCTTTAATTTTGTGCCCGTAAAAATTCGAGCGAGGATTGTTCCTTTGGAGCAGAATGAATGTAGGATAGCATATCACAAATCATTCTCGGGTCGAATATTGCTACCAGATAATTTTTCATTAATTTTATATCTGGGAGCATGATTTAGGCATACTTTGCATTATACAGAGCGGTTATTTGCAAATTGTACACTGAAGGTGATGGGTAACCAACGTCTATCTTAGTGGCAACGCGAGTGTGCCATACAGGGCTGCGTTTGTAAATTGTTACAGAGTATACTTTGAGTGATTTTAAGACCATGCCGCGTGGTCCAGAAATTTCTTTCGATGTGAAAACTAAGATCATTGAGTTAACAAAGATGGTCAACGTCAAGTCGACATTGCCAAAAATTTGAAGCTGAAGCGTAAAGCAGTTTGGGCCATATTGAACAAATATAAACAAGAAGGTATCTTAGAAGCCTCTAAGAAAAGTGGTCGGCCTAGAAAACTAAATGCTAGATCAGTTAGATTAATAAAAGTAATTTCGTCCAAAGATCCGTTTAAAACCCCAAGACAAATAAAAGCCGAAATCGAGACAAAAGGAATTGCCAGTGTTTGTACGAAAACTATAAGTAGAAGATTAAATGATTTGACGTTATTTGCACGTCGCCCGAGTAAGAAGCCGCTAATCTCAAGGAAAAACCGTAAGAACCGATTACAATTTGCACGGTTGCATCTTGATTGGAGCATCTGTGACTGGAAGAGGGTATGTTTCAGTGACGAATCCAAGTTCAATATGTTTGGATCAGATGGTGTTCATTACGTTATTCGTCCTAGTGGACAAAGATTGAACCCCAAGTACACTTTGCCCACTGTCAAACATGGAGGCGTGTCTGTTATGGCTTGGGGGTGCTTTTCGGGGTTTGGAATGGGACCTTTACATAGAATAGATGGCATTATGGATAAGTTTGTATACACAGACATACTAAATCATGTCATGTTACCATATATGGAAGACAATATGCCCTTAAGATCAATTTCCCAGCAAGATAATGACCCGAAGCACACTTCAAATCTCGCAAAGAAATTCTTTCTGGATGAAAAAATACCAATTCTCAAATGGCCTTCACAGTCTCCCGATATAAACCCCATTGAAAGTCTATGGGAATACTTAGATGAGCAAATACGAGATAAAAATTGGAGACAGATTGATGAATCTTATATCAAGAAACTTCTACAATCTATGCCGAGACGATGCCGGGCGGTGATTGATAATAATGGTTATGCTACAAAATATTAACACAAACATGGTTGGTTTTATATAATTCAATGAACTTTGCTTCTTTTTTCTATAATTGTTTTGCTTTGTCTATATATTTTTGTCCTTCATAGATCCAGTTTTTTCAACTAATTTTTTATTGAAAGGAGTCTAATCAATTCATTTATGTATAAGTTAGTATTATGCTATAACGAATTATGTATACAGGTTGGCGTATTAATCAAGTTGAAAAAGAAATACAGCACAATATTAATTTGTCTATATACTTTTGTCCATTACTGTATATTACGTATATGAAAAATAAAATATAAGATTTGATGGTAATTGAAAACTAACTTTTCCACAATTACTACAATGACAAATAAAACTGTTTCACAAGCTTACGAAATCTGTTTAGTGGCCAATCCTTTATATTGTCATCTAAATCGTTATAAATCATGATAGCATTGTAAATGTATGAACTACGAAATAAAATTTTTATACATAGGGTTCTAGTCTTTTTTTGTGTCTGAAATCAGTGTCTGAATTACTTTGTCTAAAAACAAATTTCTCCTAAAGATACAATGGGGAGCGAGAAGATAATATGATCTTATGTGTAAACACTGCCATATGGTACTTACATGCATTTTCTATACACATCCAACCAAGCTGAAATCTCTTTAAGGAAACATGCTTTTCTTCCCGAGCTCAAAGCCTTGGGAATAAAAATTATGTCACTTGTCATTCTCATGGTTCATTGTTTGTTTATTTAATTTGGTTTTCAAAAACTCATCAAAATTGGCAGAATATATATTTTTCATTATAAATGCTACCTCGTGTCCCAAGGGTGTTTTATAGTAACTGCAATAAATAATGAGAAAACGTATTTTTTGGGACTTAATTGACAGTGTTTGCAGGAACGGAAAAACTCTTTTTAGGTATTTATGAGACCTACAGAATGAGACCACACATAAAAAGATCCGACTCATAGTAAAAAAGTTATGCCCGAAAACCGAGACAAAATGCAGGTTTTGGCACTTTCTAATGCGACGATAATTACACGGAGCTGCTTAAAATTCTTCAAATTCGTAGGCTTCATACTTCTAAATAACCATAACAAAATTGAGAATTTCTAATTGTTTATTCCAAAACAGATGTCTTCCGTTCCATAGCATAATTCACGAATTTACTTTTATACATTTCGTATATGTGAGTAATTGAACAAATCCGCTACGATATTCGAAAAATATACGTTATTATAAACATTTTAAAATAAAGCGGACGTGTCTTTCACCTTTTGTTACGACTCACTCACAAATACGAAATGCTTGAATTTGATTAGAAGAAAAAAATTTTTCGAGTAGAAAAGGCAAAATCTGCATTTTGAAGGTCTCATGAATACCTAAAATCCTTATTTGAAGAGTTTTTTCGTTCCTGCCAACATTTTCGATTGATACCCAAAAAAAACCTTTTTGTCATTCTTTGTTGTCGAATAAAAAGTTTTCCCACAAAAATTGGTGTACCCATTTTATGCGTCCATGTTTTAAATGCCCCCTTGAACAACTTGCATCAATAAAACCAGACTTTACAAATATTTCGCAAACCAGAGATATTTTCCTCTAATATGATTGACTACAACCTCACAAACGACAGACCTTTGCATGCAGGCATTTAGAACGCCAAACCGTCCTGCGGAGAGTTGGAGAGAAGACTGGTAGCGTTACGATAGTGACTTCCTACCTAAATCAGGCTCCCACACATACAATGAATGAAAAATTATCTGGGAGCAATATTCGACTAGAACGCGTCTATCTAAAGAGTACAATACTGATTAAACTGTGTTTATTCCTGTGTTACATTCATTTCGCTCCAAAAAAACAATCCTCGCTCGATCATAGAACTCAAAACTAAAGGATAATGGATATATGGTTATTGCTCTGACATTGTATTTGAAAAGAGCAGAGCTTGAAGAAAATATAGAAAATGTGAATCTAATTCAGAAAGGCAATATACTTCTGTACAATTTGTTGAAAAACTTTTTGAATGCATGCAGGAATTAAAAAAGTCATGAAAGTAAATAAAAATTGGTCGGAAAATGTTAATTTGCCTCCAAAACTTCAACCACTGTACATATTGATCTGAATACAAAAATATAAAGAATTATAGTGATAATGGAAAGCATTGTGGTCTGATTGACAATAGTTGGGGTCATACAGCAGAGTACCTCAAAGTTGGAGTAATGAAATATCATTTTGATTTACCCTTTACAACAAGGCAAACGGCTGCAATCAATAAATCAGATATGTAATCTACGTGTGAGTTGAGCTTACCTTTTGTTGATCTTCAATATAAATTAGCTTGCCATTCCGATTATTGAAGATGAAATGAACGAAAATAAAAAACATCTTCCTTTATTACTCAATTCATTTATGCAAGAGCGAGTAGCAACTGAATTAAATATCAATTTGCGCAATTGTGCATTTTCCTTTAATTAGCAATGCTCGACCCATGATAAAGTTTGTTGATCTCTTCAGTTATTTTGTATTACATTTATACGAAACCGCCAAAGTGGTGAAAATACTACTATTACCATGCCTACTTTCTATGGGGATGTACCAAATAATAATTTATTTCTGTTCCAGTTGTAAAAGACGGTCACTATTTCCTAAAAATTCTAAATGATCAGACAAGCAGACTGCTAGTACTGGCTGACAAGATCGAAAAAGACATACTGGGTTGTGAGTTACCAGAAGAGATTGTGGGCAAAGTGAGAAGTGCTACGGGCAAAGCCAGGCTGCTCGTTTCGCAAAAAATGCAACAATTTCGAGGGCTGTGTACTAATAATATTAACCAGGTGAAAGTTCAAACTTTACTCATTTTTCTAGATTTAATTCTTGTATTTATGCAATTCTGTATAATTTATGCAGTGTGACAACTCTGTAAGGTAAACTGTAATCTGAATAATGGAAATCCAGCCAGCAGTGGGAGGTATACAGGGTGTTCCACTCTTAAAAGGATATAGTGAAATGGTAGGTAGTATGGACCTAGATTTCTCCATATCTAAAAAAAAAGGTTCAGCTTTTACGGATATACAGGACTTTTGTTTTTTTACTTATCTAAACTCTCCAAATATTTAATATGACATATCTGAGGCACTATTCAATCGGTTTTGTTGAAATTTTGCACGATAATAAAGTTACCCAGGAGTAACGTAAACCTAAAAGTTTGATATTCCAAGAACGGGCTCGAGGTTTTTCGCTTTTTTGTGTAATACTAATTTATTGACATCAATTACAAATTGTGAATGAATTGATATGCCACAAAAGGAAAATATCCTTGTATGTTGATATAATTCTAACACAACATACATATGACATAGTTACAATAATTTGATTGGACTAAAAAAATCTATATAATATAAATGTAATATGTACATTAATTTTGTATTTTAGTTTTTTATAAATTACATCATGTTTTTATCAGTATTCAATAGCCAGCCACTCGTATAAGTCTATTTTTAATAATGATACTCGGTTTTTTCTAATATATTTTGTTTATTATTATTATATAATTTTGGACCTATGTATATCGAAGACAACATTATTCCCTTTTTTGGTGTTGCATAATTATTATCAATTTCTCCTTTTAATGTTGTCCATTCCATTGTCCAGCTTAAAGTGCATTAATTTTGATGAGATGCAAAAAAGTTTAAATAACCTAGTCCGACTATGAATTTTTAAACCATCTGTCTGGATTTACGTTACTCCTCCGTAACTTTGGTATCGTGCAAAATTTCATCAAAATCGATTCAGTAGTGCCTAAAATATGTGATTTTAAAGATTTGCCATGTTTAGATACATCAACCGGTATCCGTAAAAGCTGAATGAATGAATGAATCTTGAAGTCAGAGGCATTCCGGCCACCATAAGGAGTCAGTGCATAGGCCGCTTAAGCGGGCCCTTATGCACCTCTACATTCCTTAGATCACAAGACTCGCCCTTTTAGCGAAGCCTGGAGTCCAAGCTCGTTGACGTCCTGAGGGTCGAAACTAATGGACCCCAGTATAGTCTGCCATGAAAAGATTTTGGTCCAAACTACCTACCATTTCAATATGTCCATTTAAGTACGGAACACCCTGTAGGTATTTGATTATCCCGTGATCCTTGACTGTTACGTTATTAATTGGAAATTTGTACTACAATGACAAAAATCAACGATCTAATTTGACTGGTCTGTATTCTAGTCAAAAATACCCGAATTTTGAATATTTGAACTAGAGATCTTGTGTATTTGATGTAAACGGTCGCGATTCACGAGATAATTTAATCACCTCTACCTACTAAATACCTCACAGCAGCAAGTAATCATCTAAAGGGTGTCTCAACAAGAACGCCGGATTTGAATTTGCCGCCATTTTTTCGTACAAATGGTGTGGTGTTTACTTGATGAGAGCTGTCATGTCCAGTGCACGCGATTAGACGTCCTGGAGCAGTATTCAAACGAGCAACGTTTAGTTATTGTGAAAACTCACTACAAAAATTTAGAAAATTACGTGGAAACATTTCGCAAATTACGTACAATTTTCGGTCGCAATAATGCGCCAAATGAGTCGATAGTTCGCCGTTTGATTACAAAATTTGAGATAAAATTCACGTTGCTGAATATGAAAGACCATTGTTTGTCGCCGTCCCGGTCGGTCTCTCGAAAATATATTCGCAGTGCCTGAAAGTGTGGCCGAGAATCCAGGCACTTCTATTCGGCATAGTTGCCAAGAATTGAACGTTACCAAACCCACTCTGCAACGAATTTTGACAAAAGATCTGTGCTTGCATGCGTACAATGTTCAACTGAACTCGAGCCAAGGGACCATGCGCAGCGAAGTGAATTCATTGATTGGGAGCTGGAGCACCACTAAATTGATGCGGATTTCTCGAAGAAAATCATTTTCTCTGACGAGGCTCATTTTCACCTGAACGTCAATAAGCAGAACTGCCGAATTTAGGGATCTGAAAATCCTCGTGTAATAATTACCGTTTGGTGCGCATTGTGGAGCGGCGGAGTGATTGGACCGTATTTCTTCGAAAATGCTGCAGCTGGAACTGCGGTAACTGTTAATGGTGTGCGGTATCGGGGAATGTTAACCGAGTTTTTGTGGCCCCAGTTGGATCGCATTGATGTGGAGAATATGTTCCTCCAACAAGACGGTGCGACCTGCCACACAGTACGCGAAACAATGGTGTTACTGCGGACCAAGTTTCCAGACCGTGTCATGTCTCGGTTTGGCGATTAAAATTGGTCACCAAGATCGTGCGATCTAACGCCAATGGACTTCTTACTCTGGGGCTATGTGAAGGAAAAGGTGTATGCGAACAAGCCACAAACAGTTGAACGCCTTAAAGAAGAGATTCAGCGCATGATCGACGAAATAGAGCCACAGTTGTGCGAAAATGTTATCCAGAATTTTAAGAAAAGACTGACCCTGTGCCAGGGGTTTCGTGGTGGCCATTTACCGGATATCCTATTTCATGTTTAATAGCAACTATTCCTCTTCATGTTGAAATATAAATACTCGCTTAATTCGAAAAGAAATTGTGTTTCTGATAGCGATAGTTTCTCAGAAGATACCAAACATCTATGGTTCGTACGGCATCCCTTATAGTTTCCCTTCTCACATTTTTTCGCTGACCAGATGATACATGTCGGAGCCGTCGTACACTCGTGACTCTTAACATATAGTCAGGGCTCTGATGCGTACATCCGTAAGTTTCTTGATGGGTTGGTAAAAGTCACGTCATCACGTACCCACGTACAAGTTATTTGGTTTAAACAAATTGTTGATGTTGAACTTTTGTATTTTTTGTAGAGCGTTGGCGAAGCATTTCCTACTACAAACGAAGATTTACAAGGGTTTTGGGACATGGTGATGCTCCAAGTTGATCAGGTAGACGCGTTATTCGCTGAGATTTACGCTTTACGTGCCAATAATTGGAAGGAGCCCGAAAAAGATAAAGCGTTAAAAAACGGTGCTGTTAAAACCAAGAAAGCTGTGGCTGTACGTCCAAAAACAACAGCTGGCAATGATGAAACAAGAAAACAACGTGAGGCGCAGAGGTAAGACGCTTCTGTGATATAATAAGAATCCTAGTGCAGTGTTTTGGAATCAGTTACTCATTCTAAAAATTTTTAAACATTTTTAAATCGAATTCCTAAAAATTCTTTCGAGTTCAGTTCTTCCGTTTTTTTTTTTGGATCGTTTTGAACAAAAAAGTGAGTTTATATACTTTTCTAGATATATTTTTTGATGCAACTTTGGGGCTGGCGGCATGCAAGTCTAACGGAGAGTTTCTGCAGGCACATTTTACCGGGCACTCGGTTTCGCCCAGTATTAAATTACTCCTTCTGAAGGCAAGACAGAACTTACTAAGTCAAAGAATTGCAGGCAGATGCGATGTGAAACAAGGTTGCTTGCTTTTTTGGATTTCGATTTGCTTTTTTTTAACTTATAAAAATTCAAGAAGACATAGTAAACAATTTGCAGCATAAAGTTAGAATGTAACGTGAATAACAAGTATCTCGCGTTCTCCAAAGATAATCTTCATAAATACATAAGGATAATTTAGGTTTAGTTCTTCTCATTTCTGAATTGACTCGCCACGGCATTAACCAATTTTAACTTGTGTATCTTTGGTAACCACCGAAAGGCAGTTTAGAAACATACAGAATTTGAACTCGCTGTTTGTGATTTATATGACATGACAGTGATTATGTTTGTTGATTTTTAGAAATTTGAGCATGAAACTCGGCTTTGACTACCTGCAAATAAAATTTTTTGAAAATACCGGAGGTACACTAACCTACTTCGAAAAAAAAATCGTCCAAGTTGCGCAAATGTTTATCACTAACACTAGCTGAAATAACTAGTTTAAATAACGCAGCGCAAGCAAATTCTGAATACCTAGCCGCGTATAGTTGTAGTCACCGTTCTTGGCGGTTTCGTCATCAACGCCATGTGAAATAAGTAAATAGATCGAGTCTCCGTTCCATGCACGCATACTAATCTTCAGCGCATCTGCTACTCTCTCCAGTACGCATGAAGTGGGTAACAGGGGTTTTCATTCTCTTCCTGGAAATACTCTAATAAATTTAGCACGAGCTGTCGGTCTTCTCCTTTGATCGTATTTCCGGGCATTGTGAACTTGTATATTGAAGATTAATAACAGGACAACTCAACTAAGTTGTTACTCTGACAAATATAATTGAAGGGCACTCATACGTGACAACAAAGTTTTCGAGACGGATACACTAAAAAACGTTTGTCTTTGAGCTTACCGAACAAACGTTCACACACTGGGGTAGGTTGCATGTGCATGTATGAGGGAGATGAAGATATATAAATGGATACTGGTAGTCTTACCGCCAAGAACGGTGATTACAACTGTAACCAGTATTCGAATCTGGCCCAGCACCCGGTATTCCGCTCTTTGAAAAAAGTAGTAGTAGGTGTATCCTTACATGGAATACCTTCAGGCGGCGACTGACTGAAGCCGAGCGCTGTAATGTAATGCTCACATCGAGCGTTGCATTACGAGTTCGTGATCTGAGTCTAGCGAATGTTACTTGGAATGCTCATCTCAACAGTGCTCCACATTTTTCTGAATATTCAATTCTGAATAATGTTGCTGTACATTGTTGCCTAAAATTTAACGCCAGCTGCTTCACTTGTTTCCCAAACAAATATTCAAATTTAAAGAATTTCTCAATTTTGTTGACTGTACTGAAAAAAAATTTTGCTAGGAAAGTCTAGCAAGTAATTTTAAAAGTGGGCGCATTCAATAAAGATTCCAAAATGGTATGATACTTGCTATATTACTTCTTGAATTATGGACAATTTTAATGTTTGTAACGAAACTCAGTTCCACATTTTGTTCTTAATTACTTAAAACTATTCCAATAAACCCCAAGGCTTTCCTCGGAGACGTAACTTCAATATTATAGTTTGAGTGAGAAAGAGAGGGCTATTTTACAAAGTGTGATTAAAATAAAATTGAGAAAATATTGATATTTGTAATAATGAAATGTGTAGATTTTTCCGATTTTTTTAAAGCCCATAATTTGGAAAGTACAAGACAGATTTTTTTATATTTTTCTGATAACTATTATGACTTCCTATCCCCCGTTTCCGGCTTAACGTCGACTTCTGTGACATCCTGTATAATAAAACACACATTCTTACCAGTTCCTGTGCCTTTGCTTTTACATATTTCGGCTTTCTCTCTCCTGAGAGAAGCTATCAAACTTGTAATTTTACGTTCACACTCATCAACCGCAGATTCTGTTTCAGCAGCTAGCTGTTGCCATGCATCATGTTTCTTGATTATGTTATAATTTCCCGCATGTTGCTGATCTCATAGTATCATATACAGGGTGTAAACGTAGTAGTGGATCAACGGAAGATAGGTGATAGAGGACCTCAAAACCTATCGAATGAACCCCTATATGTGTGGTCCGTCCGAAATTTTATAGTTCAGGAGATATTTGCAATTATGTGAAATTTTGAAAAAATGGAATAATGAAATTTCAATCTCAATTACAACTAAACCATTATGTTTGGGGCTGTGATTTTTTTTTAGATGAGCTAAATGGTAAGTTTTAGCAATGGTTATGTCACTTTTTAACAGAGCTTATTAGAAATCAACGCAAAAAATCTTGAATTCATTTTTTTGTGTGAAAAATCTCTTCCATCCCTCAACTTTGGAGGGCGGTAAAAAAAATTGAAGTTGTATTTCATTATTCATTTTATTGCAAAAACTATTTCAATCCATATAGAATAAACTCTGAAAATTCCGATGAGTGTATCATGTCACATTCGTTGTTGTGATGCGATAAACGTAAGAAACGCAATACAATCCTTACCACCTACAAGTACAGAACCTATTGTGTTTAGTCGCTCTTTATGGCGATTTACCGACAAATGTGGAAGATAATTTAATTTAACTATCTTATGAAGAACATGTTCGAACTGACGTTGAAAGCTGTCACGGCGAATAGCGTGTGGATTTTCCACGCTCCATGAATGGGAATTGTACATGTTGAATATTCCATTTCGGTTAAAGTTGGATTCATCTGTCCATAAGATGCTGTCGAAAAAAGTTTCATCCTCTTCGCACCTTCTCAACTCACAAAATTTTTGTACATGGTGCGTACTATTGTGTGCACTAAAGTATGGGATATTCTGCTTCGGGCACTGGCTCTGGTGCTTATAGAGGGATCTCTCTCGGCTGCTTGTATTATATCTTTTATTTCTTCTGGGCGTATCCTCGGCGCTCCTAGCTGACGATTAGTACCTAGTATCCGGCCTTCCAGATACGCATTATGAACGCGTAGAAAAACGCGGTAGTCCGGATATACCGCCGGTTGTGGTCCACCTCTTCTAATTACATACTTCCGATACATGCGAGCAGCTGCTCGAGCATTTCCTAGGGCAGCACCATAATAGTATTGCATTTCTACATAATCTCGCGGAGAATATGACATGATTCTACTCAGATGCCAAACGTTAGATACAAATCCCGCGCTGGACCATTGCCTGACTTAGTAGTTTCGGTCGGAGCAAAGATTGAACGCTCCCGCACCTTTAATGCTGAGTTGAATGCCCAAGCTCATTAAGCTGATTTGGCTATTTGCGTGAAAAAACCGCCATTTTGATTTTACAAAATGTTAATACACACAGTATCACTCGCACTGCTAGGACGAGTCTAACAGTACCTCATATCTCAAAATCCATCAAGTGGACTGTAGCTCGTAAAATAGAATAGAATAGAATAGAATTTTTTAAGCTGAGGCTTTTAACGTAGCATTTTGAAATTTTCAGGGTTTATTCTACGTGGATTGAAATAGTTTTTACAATTAAATGAATAATGAAATACAACCTCAATTTTTTTACCACCCTCCAAGTAGAGCGATGGAAAAGATTTTCACAAAAAAAATTATTTAAGATGTTTTGCGTTGATTTCTAATTAGCTCTTTTAAAATCACAGCCATAAACCTAATGGTTTAGTTGTAATTGCGATTTAAAGTTCATTATCCCGTATTTTTCGAAATTTCACAAAATTGCAAATATGTCCTAAACTATAAAATTTCGGACCACACATATAGGGGTTCATTTGATATGTTTTGAGGCCCTCTATCACCTGACTTCCGTTGATCCACTACTAACTTTACACCCTGTATATTTAGTACGATATAAACCAATAACAAATACAGTTTCCTCCTGGGATCACTCCATTAATAACGTGTGTTCAGAGCTCTACCTCAGCTAATAAAATAAGAATACTGCAGAGACTGTGCTCACAGACGAACTAGTTGCCACCTGTACTGACTTGTGATGTAAAGTGTGAAGATCTGACAACCTCCGTTAGAATGATACTTATTTTGGCCTCTCTTATATAACTTTACTTTTGTAGTTGTACGTCAACAGTTTCTAATTCCGATGCAGAAAATGATCTACTTATCGGATTACCTAGAAGTTTACCAATCAGCTTGAGGGTTTTTCTCTGTGGGTTCACTATAATGTACTGTCTAATTTGGTTGACTTCAAAATTTGAATCGTGTTTCAGAAAAAAGATGATCGAGGACCGCAGGAAGGCGATGAAGGCACAGAAGAATGCCACGAACGGAAGTATTGAAATTTTCGTACCCGAAAGCAGCTGAGATTTGTACTGCACCCGTTTAGGCGTATTTCTAATAAATTTTATGGTGATGTGAGATGTGTATACATGACATGATATGATGACACTAACAAAGATAATACTCTACTATGCTAATTAGCAGGTCTGATGGAATATTTTTGCTATTATTTTTCTTGACGGGCTTAAAAGTCTTAAGCTAGCTACTACTTTTTAAGGTGTTATGTCTGCTCCTTATTAACATGCCTTGTCACGGCAAATTTGCATAAAATCAGATGTGCTGTCATATTGGTGTATTATCTTTGATATTATTTTTTCCTTTTTTCCTTTTAATATACGCTCACAATATATTTTAATACAAAAGTACTGCAATATTGTCACTTATAAACAAATGTACTGTAATATAAATTGTGAATATCACTAATTGATTAATTATCTTCGTATGTTTGCACATTGTGGTTTGACTTGCATTTTCAGAAGTTTGAAATTGGTCAAATTAAAACCATACTTTGAGCATTAAATTACTTGCGTATTGTGCCTATGGGCAATTCAAACCACTCTGTTTTACATTTTTATTATGAGACTCAGTGCTGTACGAATTGCTTGTTATTTGAAGCTTAATTTTTTATTAACGAATTTCATACATGAAGAAGACTGAGTTTAGAGGTGTCTAGGACATTAGAATCCGGCCACATGGTTTATTTTTGTTCCAAGTAGAAAAACGTATCTGCATACCAATAACCAGTGCATTCCATCGTGCTGAATCAAAACATATTTTGCTATAGTTGGATCACTAATATTAAAAAAGAAAAACAAACCTGACGTTCATGAGTAAAAATCATCTTTTTTCATAATAAGAAATGGAGGTAATCTAGATCTTATTACTGAACACAGATAAAATATTTGGTGTATAGATGCTGATCTGGTATGTTGTATATACAGGGTGTTCGGGTTTATGTTTGGGAAAAATTAAATTAAAAAATGCTGTCAGAAGTCCAATTCCAAAGGTGTTGAGTGCTGGAGCATTCATAAATTGACCTTCTTCGACCTCCAAAAATTAGATTGTTATGCTGAATATTATAATTATACCCATTAATTTCATGATTTGTCGAAGACTTATTTGTAAGGATACAAGGTGCTCCAGGACAGTTTTTTTGAACGGTTATTTTGAACTACTTTTATATTTGTTATCCATTGTCTTTCAACAACATTTCTTAAATTTCATTCCCTACACCTAATATCAATACACCATGTATGTATGTATAATGTCCTAGAATATCCCGCACGGATATAACCAAAATAAAAAATGACATTCCCAGTGCTTTTATTAACTGGTTTATTGGATATACTGAGTTTTTGTACCATTTTTTTACTTGTTGTAAGTGTTGTTGAGGGGATGTTCCAATATCTCCAGTTGGGCTTATAATTCACTTATACAGGGAGATTCAATGTGTTGCCTGATTTTAAAACTATTCTGCAAGTCTATTGATTCACTAGCCTGAGGGAGTCGCATAAACTCATTCAAGGTATTTACCTAGTCGTTATTTAAGCACATTTTGAAAATACCTATTGACCATGACAAGATTTTATAACAAACCGAAAAAAATGACGTATAACAGATTTTGGGACTGAAAATCTTATAAGTGGATGTGTTATTAATTTGCTCTAAGGGTGTAAATTATATTAATTATATGAACATTTTTGGTCAATTGAGAACATGCTATTTACTGTTGTTTATTTATGTGTATAATTTCATTAATCAGTGTTTACTTGGAAGTATTGTGTATAATGCTATGATATATCAAAGCCTAAGAAACAAATGTCTTAATTACACCTATTTGCTAAAATATGTTGAATATGTTTTTAACCTGTATTGCAATAGTTATACATAAGCTTTAATTTTTGGCCCAAAAATGAACGGTATTTTCAGGAGTATTGTGTGCGACTGTAAAATTGTGATGACTGTATGTGAATTTTTGTCACCAAGTTCTTTTGTAAATGCTGACACATGTGCGTTATCCCTTTGCTTTTCATACAGTAAAGTTATTCTTCCCTTGTTAAATTGGTATCACCGATAGTGCATGCATAAAAACGTTTTTTGAGAACCTAGAATATATCACAGATTCCACAATATATTATTGACGGAAAAGCTTCTAGTTCCGCTTGGATGCATGCGCTAAAGCAAAGGCGCAACTGCGCATAAATATTTACATTCCTTTAGTATGCAGTAGGTGATGAGTAATGCCATTGATATCGTATTCCACCTGAAAATAGCTAACCTAATGCCGTATTTACGTGTCCGAAGAATTATCCGAAATGTCCTGGGAATTTGTCACAGCTATGTCTCTCTCATTCGGAAAGGTTACTTTCTCGTAGATAGCGTTGTAGCCAGCTACATATTAGCATATAGCTACAGCGCCTTTTCAAAGTAGATCTAGATTATTGCGGAGAGGAGAGAAAAAAAATTCAGTTCATCTCGGATAATTTTTCTGACGGACGAATATGGCATTAGGTTATCTATCTTTAGGTACAGCACATTAATCAATGGTCATGCTTATTATGTCGACTAAGCCTTGTTGGCGAATAAATGTGTAGCATAAGTTACAACTTTGTGTAAAGGAAAATGGTGGTACTTATTTATTGCACATGGTTTGTATTTAAAATGTATATTGAATAATGATATTTACAGAGTTTAAAATATTTTTATCGTATATGTATTGTAATTTAAATTCAAATGCATGTCCTTAAGCAACAACAAAAAATAGATCTGATTCACCCTGTACTATTTAAAGGCTAGTTATCTAAGGAAGTTGATACATGAATAATTTATTTATTATACGCTGGTAGTTATTGATTGGCAATTTTAAAGTCACTTTTTTTATTTATATTAACTATATTGAAATAAATTATTTACACAAAACGATTCCATAATTATGAACCCAAACCCTAATGCCGGCAGTACACTCTCCTCGAGTCTTGAAAACTCCGCCAATTTTGGCCTGAAAACAAAGTTGAAATCGCTTCAAAATAAACTAATCTCAAAATACCCTTCAAGGTCTTGTAGAGCAAAGACTTAACTTTAATTTGGATACTTGGATACTCCTCATAAATTATAGTATTTAATCGAACTTTCAAGCATAGAATATCACCGGAGTGTAACCTATATCAAAAATATTTAAACGATTTTCTTCAAGTAAATTACAATTTTTTAGTACGGATATATTTTTTTCGGGTCTTAGGATCATTCCAAACAAAAAAGATTTCCAATAACTTTTCTCCAAAGCTGACCATTTTTGAGTTATGAGCGGTTTAATGACTGAAAAGCCCTAAAAATGGGTATATTCAATGCTTAAAAATTTCGTTAAACATGATTTTTGAGGATCCCAAGAATCAAAGGAGAAATTCATACCTTCAGCAAAGAATAGTTATATCCCTTCAGTTTGACCTGGATGATGCCCTTAGAGGTCATTTGGATGTCATCTTCGTAAATTCAAATGCCAAACCTCCATTTTTAGCAGCTGATTCTTGATCACCACGAGATTTTACATGTGATTGAAATTTTATACATCTCTCCAATACATTAGCAGCAATCAAGTCCGGGCCAGAATATTTGTTGATGTTGAGCGACCAGAGCACCCATCTTACGGCCTCATCCATGAAGGTTACTCCCTGCATATACTAGGGAACCCTTGGAATCGACAGCATACGGGTGTTGAAGGGGAGTTGTCAACAAATATCTTGGCAAGCATTTACGCTTTAACCTTGGAGTTGCGTTATAATCGTCCCATCCTGGCACGTAAGCGAATGAAAGCTACCTTTTGAGAAGTTCCCTTCGATCTGCTTAGCTAGCGTCCAGAAAGACTGACTGCCGTTGCGCTGCGACATTATCCTGTGCCTGATTTTTGAATTTTCTGTTCACCAGCAGTGAACCAGCCATTTGTCGCCCAGGCTAGAATTGGTAGATTGGAGACTCATCAGGTTCACAGAAACGCGAGAAGGTATGTGAATGGTACTCTGCTCCTGCTATGTTATAAGCACAAAATTAAGATTCATGACATTAATACCTTTTGTCGTTTCTGCGATCGTGATACAGATCCAGCAGTTTCTTAAAATCCCAATGTCGACCAGACTATGATGTTGACCCGAAATGTTGATCTTTGGCATACTCCTAGTGGTTTCTGCAATCCTGATACAGATCTATAACTTTCTGAAAATCGCACTGTCAACCAGATCTCGTAAAATTGGTGGACAAAGACTTGCTATCAGGAGGAGATGTGAATAGTACTCTACTTATGCTATGATGTTGGCGGGAAATTTTTGGCAATTATGCTCCTAGTCGTTTCTGCAATCCTGATACAGATATATAAGTTTCTGAATAATTCGTAAAACTGGTATATTGGAGACTTGCTTTCAGGTTCACAGAAATGCGAGGAGGTATGCAAATGGTACTCTGCTATCCGGTCAGTATGACCTAGATGATGTCCTTAGAGGTCAACTTCGTAAACTGAAATGACAACCCTCCATTTTTGGCAGCTGATTCTTAATCACCACGAGATTCTTCTTCTTCTATTTACGCCTTAGCATTGGAGTCGCGTTGTAATCGCCCCATCTTGGCACCTAAGCGGATGAAAGCTACTCTTTGAGATCTGCTTAGCCAGCGCCCAGAAAGTCTGGCTGCCATTGCGCTGCGACATTACCCTGGGTCTGATTTTTTAATTTTCTGTCTACCAGCAATGAGCTAGCCGTTTGTCCAGGATTTTGGCACTTTCACTGCATGAGTGATCCCTTTATTCCAACTTGGATAAAATTGGTGGACAGTGACTTGCTATCAGGATCGCAGAAACGCGATTAGGTTTGTGAATAGTCATGCGCTCTATCTATCATACTCGCGCGAAATTTGTATCCTTGGCATCTCTGCTCCTCGCCGTTTTTGCGACCTTGATGCAGATCTATAAGCGTCTTAGAGTCGCCCAGGCAAGAATTGATAGATTGGAGACTTGCCAGGTTCACAAAAACGCGAGAAGGTATGTAATGATACTCTGCCCCTGCTATGCTATAAGCACGAAATTCAGATTCATGACATTGATACCTTTTGTCATTTCTGCGTTCTTGATACAGTCTATATGTTTCTTAAAATCGCAATGCCAACCAGACTTCTCGTAAAATTGGTGGACGACGAGTGGCTATCAGGATCACAAAAACGCGCGGAGGTATTTAAATGGTACTGTACTTATCAGTGACGTTGGCGTGAAATTATGATCTTTGGCATCTATGCTCCTGTCGTTTATGCAATCCTGATACAGGTCTACTTGTTTCTGAATATCGCACGGCCGACCACAGCTTCTCCGTAACATTGGTAGATCGGAGACCTGTTATTAGGTTCACAGAAACGCGAGGAGGAGTAAATGGTACGCTGATCCTATGATAAATACGAAATTTAAATCCATGGCAACGATACCTCTTATCTGCGATCCTGATACAGAGCTATAAATTTGTGAATATCGGACTGTCGAAAACAGCTTCGTAAAATTGGTAGATTGCATACTTGTTTTCAGGTTCATAGAAACACGAGGAGATATACAAATGGTACTCTGCTCCTGCTATGATAAGCACCAAATGCAAATCAACGGCAGCGATACCTCTGACAATCTCTGCGATCCTGATACAGATCTATAGGCCTCTCAAAATCGCACTGTCGACCACACTTTGCTCGTAAAATTGGTGGACTACGACATGCTATCAGGATGAATGGTACTCTGCTGGTAATGTGATAGGCGCGAAATTTTTATCCTTGGCATCTATGCTCCTAGTATTTTCTGCGATCCCGATACACATATATAAGTTTCTGAAAATCGCACTGTTTACCACAGCTTATTCATAAAGTTGGTAGATTGGAGACTTATCAGGTACACACAAACACGAGGAGGTATGCAAATGGTACCCTGCTCCCGCTGAGAGATCAGCACTAAATTCAAATCTGTGGCATCGATACCTCTTGCCGTTTCTGCTATCGATAGGTTTCTGAAAATCGAACTGTCCACCAGACTTTTATCGTGAAATTGGTGGACGGTGACTTGCTATCAGGATCACAGAAATGCGAGGAGATATATGAATGGTACTGAGCTCTATCTATGATACTCGCGCGAAATTTGGATCCTTGGCATCTATGCTCATCGTTTCTGCGATCCTGATGAAGATCTATAAGTTTCATAAATTCGCTCTGTCGTCCAGGTTCGTAAAATCTGGAATGTTTGCTATAAGGATCACAGAAACAAGAGGAGGTATGTGACCGGTATACTGCACCTGCTATCATACTGACGTAAACTTTGAATCGTTGGCACCTATACCAACCAACGATGGGATTAGAACGGTGACATCTTTGGGGGGAGCTCAGAGTAACAAAGTTTATTAACATATCGATAAAAAAGCCACTTATTGATAAGAGAGACTAAACTGCTCTCTAAGGCGGGACTTATTTGATCGTTTACAAGTGTTGCGAAATGCACTTCTTAGCTATGAACAGATAACTTAGCTTCAACTCAACAGCTGGTGCGATTGATGAGCCGAATTCGCGCCAAATTATATCTTCGATGAGCTCCGACAAGCCGGAATGTGTGGCTTCATGGAAATTGTGGGTCATCCATTAAAAAAGAATGTATGTCTGGGTGCCTTTTGATGAGGAACGTTAAGTCTTAGCTGACAAGTCTCTATTATGTTAATGTCAGTGGGGGCAGATGAGCTCATGAGTTTATTTTATAACCGAACTCATGATGCAAACGAAACAATCCTAAATAAATAGGAGCAAATATTAGCCGATAAAGTTTTTTCCGCTTCGAGTTTTATATTTTTTCAAGGAAACATTAGAATTCTTTACATACATATTATCTGAGAATTATATTGCTTATCTAACTGAAATTTCAGGAATTCCCTGAATTCATTATAAAAACATTGAAATATTCGGAAAACAATAGTGATTTACTTGTACGAGAAGTGTTTTCGTTGATGGATATTATTTCGCTTGAAAGCTATGCATAATTTTTTGGTACTCGGATTCACAGCTATATTAGTTTATGGTTCATCAATAGGTATGCCATGTTAATTCTCATATATTCATGGTTAATCAGTTGAATAATTCTTAGATCATACTAAACAACTTACATTAAAGAAAAGTCATCATGAGCAACGAAAAATGAACTACAAAGTTGTGCCTCACAGGTGTAGCATTGTATGTCCTCTGAAGTTAGAACTACCTTCTTGTCTTGGTGCTCTTCCACTACAAAATACTTCGCAATCATCAAATAAGGTAAGTTAATATCTTTAATGCGATTTAAAAAATCTCCGGACAGGTGAGTCTTTTAAAAAAATAGTATGTTTATTGACCGGTTTATGACATACAGATCATGGGCACTAATGTCATTCATTTCCGACTGTCTGTTTCAACTCCAGGTATGTCCGGTTATGTGTCCATTCCTGCACGGGACTGGTATCGCACGACCTTATCACTCAACAACGCTCAAAACGGGAGAGTCCTTTTCTAGTCTCATCGTTGAGTGACATTGCCACACTATACGTTTTTAATATCTCGTCTATTTTTGATAAAATTACATTTTTTATCATTTTAGACTTTTCCAATGCAACAAGACGCAACGACGATACCGGTACTGCCCAATTTAGCGAATCTCACGCAATATTTACCGCATATTGACCCAAATCAGCTGTATGAGCAAGTATCGAATGGATTGTCGCAGCTTTTCCAAATGTTTCAGCCAAGTAATTTGCAAATACCATCTGGAAAATCCCGTATGTATTTCATATTTCACTACTTTTTTTTCAAGAAATACACGGTATCCCAGAATATCTATAGAGCTCCAACGGAATGAAAGTTGTCTGAAACAACAATTGATTGGCTATATCATCAGGAATGGATCAACGCAATATTGCTCAATTCCCATATACACTTTATAATAATGGCTTATACCGATGATATATGTGAAAAGATCCTTCATCTAAAATAAACTGTTTTGTAAAAAGGTTTTCCAAAATCTTCATGAAGAGCTAAGAACCCCTAGGTCACCCTTTCGACTAGCCTGAATCTACCGACCTACCTCCCTACTGTACTGTACCTCAGTGTCACAAAAATTATCCAAGATAAAATGGGATATCCTGGTGTCACATACGACAAGTTATCACAGCTATACAAATATTTCTCTTCTCCACAATAATCAGAAATCTACCATGAAAATGTAAGTGCCTTATGAATAGCGCTATACCCAACTACATGATCATATACGATCATAAGTGACATCAGAATATCATTTAATCTCGGATATTTTTTTGAATGTCGAAATACGTCAGGTAGACGACCTGTTGATCAATGCCTGAATTTAGTAAAATTTCCATGTAATGTTTTGTACAGATCACGCATTTTCAAAGAAAACCCAAACACATGAAAATAGGAAGCGTCAATTTTTGAAACATACAAGGGTTTTATACAGAAATGGCAAAAGAGTGTACGAATTTAAGGAACTACAACCGTTTGGCTGTTATGCGACCTGTGAAGAAATAAAAAATCCAGGAGGTAGCCAGGGTTCGCAAATGAGTGGTGATGAAGGTAATTCACTATCTAAAAATTAAACCATACTATATGTAGGAAATATATAAATAATAAAATTACAATTGGCTGCCATGAAACCGTAAATTATACTGATAAATAATCGCAAATTCTAAGAATTTTTGATAATACCGGGTTACAATTTCTACGGCATAAATAGTATTGTATTAGGACAGAGTAATATATCAGCAGAGAACTGTACACTTCAGCTAAAAAACTCCATTATTTGTCTTATGACAAGAACGTTATAGATTCTAGTGAGGACGCGTATGAGGAAGGAGAAGATGCGCCTATAGAAGCAACTGCGTCACCTGGAGAAAGACCCGCGATGAAATTAGACGGCTTAAGACCTGTAGGTCCAGTAGACTTCATGAACATGGCTGATTTTGGACCTAACGGCTCACCAGCAATGGGTGATGAGTATTACTCTGGTAATATGTTTAATCCCTTTATAATTTGACATTGCTCTCATGCATAAAATAATCTTTTTTTAATCTTACATTATTTTTATGCTTAGTGTTTTTTTTTTCAGAAAAAAACAAGGTTCATAGAAAAAAGAATCGCAGGCACTAAAAAGATTAACTGATTTTTTATAATCATGGTGAATTAAGTAATAAAGATTGTAACCTAACATAAAATTGTGTTTGTTAAGCTCATATTGTATCTTGTGTAATGACGATATATGTTTGCTCCATCTTGGTATTTACGAGATATGACCTTGAAAATCGAATAAAGCGACTCCTTTCCATAAGTCGGACATCCATATGTATTCATCAAACTTTCGTTTTTATTTGAGTTGTAAAGTTGCAAAGCTACATAAATTTTAATTCACAATAAATAGATATAAAAAATATAAAGTAATACGACTAAGCAATTCAATAAGCAGTAATGTTTAAAAAGCTCACTTTCCCGGCAGTGGGTCTTGCTAAAAACATGGTCCAAATTTAGGCTGCCGTATCCTCTTCCTTTGCTTCATTTACTTGGGTTTGATATGCGAGTGCATTGTCATACGCTTTGCGCACTGCTTTACGATCAGTGGGTTTCCTTGGTTCATTTGCCTAAACAATTAAAATCATGTAAATAGGTGATTTATTGTAAATATCAAGTTTGAACATAGGAAACCATTGAAATAAATGAATCAACTTTATCAAACCAGTTAATCAATGTGCAAACAAAATTAAGCTATACGTGAGTTTTTGGTGTTGTAATCCGTACCTTCGCTTCATCTCTAGCAGGATCTAATCCCAAAATCTCCAATTTATCACGTGGTAACCACTGCCATGTTCTTTTCGCATCAAAAAAGAGCACCAAGTATACGGTATCGATGTAGTTATGAGACAAGTCCAGAACTTCTTGGGGCGGAGAAGGTAATGGTACACCTTTGTGTACGTAGCCTTAAAATAAAGAAGAGTATTATATCAACTTTTGAGTAATTAGTTAATGTATAAACGTCAATATTTTTAAAGAAATTTAAAAACTCCCTGACACGATCTACAAAAGAGTGCAAGTGGATGTCGGCTAGGTCATGTTCCATTCTCAAAAATACCGAATAGTGTAAGTAATGGAGACACGATTTAATCAAAGTATCCATGAAGATCCGTTTATTTCATTTTATAACACAGTTTTCGCTTACCTTTAGGCATGTGAGGATCAATTATTAGAGCTGGATACCATGGATATCCTCGACATTTAGCCCAAACCAAACGCAATGGATCTAATTTTTGTTCCTCTTTTGGTCCTTTTTCATCTGTCCCACTAGCCGCCCCAGCTGTAGCCTGAAAGCAAAGATGCAATTGTTTTCTAAATCAATCAAAATCAATGTTGACGTACAATTGCAAAACATCTATGAGGTAAAGGTAACAATCAACTACTTTACTCAGCGAAAATCTAGACCAAATATTTGTAGCTTATCCCAACAGCCATTGCTCAGCACGTACTCATGTTGAAGTTATCTACTATTATTTTATTTTACACGTCATTTAAATTCAAGAGGGTGAATGTAAACACAGATATGCACTGTGTTCATGACACTCAAGAAATGGACAGAGTGGTATCCAGAAATGCCTGACGATGATGCAAACATCTTGTCGATTGCAGATGATATTAGAGAAATATTTTTATACTAACGACTGAAATATATTGATCTACAGGAAAAATACAGCAAATATATTTAACATACAAAGAGCTTTTTGGATTTCTAGAATAGAATTAATCATTACCTGTGATCCAACGCTTTCATCGTCATCATCATCCTCGTCGTCATCAGAGGCAATTTCTGACAGAGAATGTGAATAGCAGGTGGACAAACTGTTATCGCTATCACTAGAGTGGGAAGAATCTGTATGTTGCGCCCCCAAACGGTAAACCTAAGCATACAAAGGTAGTCTGAATTGCGATATAAAAAAAAGAGATTCTACTCGCGTCGCAATAATAGAGTTAATAAAACAACTTCGATTTTGGTGAATCATCAATTGGATCTATGCCTATGCTATGTAGAGATGCTGATTGAAAATATAATATATATATTTATAAAGTTTAAGCTAAGCTACCTTAAAGCTGTCTGGTATGGTGTCATGTCCAGTTCCAGAGGATCTGCTTTTCTTTTTTCTGAAACAATATAACCGTAAATTCCTAATTTGCAAAGTTTGGAAAAAAACTCACTGTTTAGATGGAGAAGAGGGAGCGCAGTCTTCTTTCTCATCTTTTTCGTCTTTCTTTAAGGCTGCCTGCGCCTTTTTGGTGAAAAGAACGGCCGTTCTTCTATTGACTCCTGAAGGCGATGCTGGAACACATGAAAACAGTTGAGCCAGTATTTGTTGTCTGGAAAACACAGCGCTACAAGTCATTGTACTTGATGATGTAATAATCCAAATTAACGGCTTTTGTAATTTCGAACAGAGATTAATAGCATCATATGTATTGGTCTGCCATCAACTTATGTTTGAAATTTATAAATATAATAAGTGTTGATGCCATACATACAGGATTAGTTTTTAGTGCGGGTACAGTCGAGAACTTGATATCTAAAAAGTTGATTACAAATATTGTAGGCAACAGCACGCTTGTTACTTAGAAATTATTTTCATCTCTATAGCATGATTCATAACATCGTGGTGATTCAAATCCAACATTATTCTAAATTTGAATAAGCCTTTTCAAATGAAGGTTATTACACACTACGGGGTTTTGTTTTAAAATTGTTCAGATTTTGGACCATTTATCGGAAAAATGCTTAATCCCATATGTTCTCCATATCTATTTACTTTTTCAGTTTTCTGAGTAGTCAAGAACGCAAAATGAACTATTTCTCGAAACTTTCAAATACACTTTTTAATTTTCCTTTTCACAAGATTTGCTTGACACAAGCTTAATTGGAGTTTTTGACTTACATATAACCATTTTGTAAATGAAAATATTAACAATACATTTCAAAATAAAAAATATCATTTGCTGGATAACGACGGTTCGTTGAAGTTTGTGTTTTTTCACTATTAATTAAATCCACCCAACCTTATGCAAGTCGAAAACTCAGGAAGTGTCCCTATGTTCTTAGTAACACAAAAACCAATCTTAAAAACCCCCAAAAGGGTGGCGAGCACCACCCAAGAGAATTCAAAACTCAATTAGTATGTCGCTAAAAATATATGAAATTTGTGGTGAAATCGGTACCGTATACGAATGTGATACAACTGTGGCCTACTCATTGTTAAAAATATCAACTTACGATTCGTAAACGGAACTGAAGTCGTCAACTTTAGATATTTTCAACAGCGTACTAATTTAGTTGTAAATTCCCGTATCAAAAAAATCTTGTGAAAAGGGAAATCAAAAAGTGTTTTGAAAATTATGAAAAATAGCTGATTTTGCATGTCAAGTTTGACTTTTTCCGAAAAATTGCCAATATCTCAACAATATGAATATATTGAATTGCTTTGTTTGGTTGGGCCTATACAAATCTGTAATAAAATGTAGGCCTTTTCGTTTAAAAAAATGAATGTTCGGACCACGTAGTTATGAATCAGTCTGTAGAGAAAACATATTTTCCAATTTAGGAGCATACTGTTAACTACAATTTTTGTATCTAATTTTTTTAGATGCTATGCGTGAATAATGGAACTATCGACCGAGCCTACAATGAAAACTCACCCGGTATATTTATCTGGAAACTATAATTTGAAACATATTTTTATTAAGGTTCGTAGTTGCTGTTAGACTAAATTAACGAACTTGTTTTTACGCTTGTTACAGAGACGCAAAGCTGGTTACAGCTGATATTTTCCATGTTGTAATAACATATTTTGACATCCAACTGTTTCCTCATGAGATACTAGTATTTCAAGTCGCTGTTCTTGGTCTCAGCCACTCTGAATGAAATGTAAATGTAATAGATGGCAACAAAAACTGAGACAAATACATATGCCGTTTCTGGTATCAAAAATTTATATTTACGCTAGATCTTGATATCCAATTTGTGGAACTATTCCAAATGATATATTTGTCAATCTGACACTGCTAATGATCGAAAATGAATCAGAGTAATGTAGAATTGGTGCTCATTGAGACAAGAGGCGCAATTTTCCAACCAATGGACGCATTCAGAAAGCTGTAGCTCACCAGCATTCAATGTCAATGTCAGTTTGATATCAAACGATCCACGAGCGGATTTTTCGGCTTTAAAAATAAAATTCGGGTTTAACGTAACAATGAAATACTTTGCTTTGGAATATCCCAGATCATATGCATTTTAAAGTGTCGTTATCATTTTTTTAAACGTTAGTACTTGCTTCTTCTTTTAAAGCCTGATGCCCGCAATTTTGTCAATCCTGTCCGATGTCCATCCATTTTGGAATATTTAACTTACTATTTTTATATAAGCACGTGGTCGAATCTATAATAAAACAAATGCAAAAAATATACAGAGGCTGATTCTGACAACAGGGACAATATACTAGGTTCATAAGGTAGATCGAAAAATAACATGGAAAGTTCATATAGAGATGTGTCCTAAAAAGCCGCCCTTACCAAGATAAAGGATGTTGTAGTTTTAATTTCAAAACCGGAAAAAATGTATCTTCAGTGGAGATATTTATTTAAAATTTTATACCTTTAGTATTAACATCATAGCTAATGCATGCGAAAAATTTCGTGCTAGATAAACCTCCAATGGCATAGGATTTTAACCCTCACAGAAGCTCAAGAAATTTTTGATTTGAATATTTGCGGTAAAATCCGCATACGCTGATGTTAGTGAAGTTTTCCATAGCGTTATATATACATGTTTTGTCCTGATTTATTCAAAATTTGTGGCGTGTAAATTCACAACACCCTGTATCTTGGTAATGAGACATTGTAGGACATATTTCTATAATGTCTCTTTTGTTATTTTTTGATGTAGTTCCTGCTTTTGAAATATTGCCATTGCTTTTTGAAACGCCCTTTATAAAAATGAATGAATTTTGAGCTTTTACAGTATAATCGAGTACTGAAATAATAACAAAAATGTTGATGAATTTTCAAAATACATATCAATTATTTAAATGCAAAAATCTCATAGAGCGATCGGCTTGAAATTTAATATAATAGAGCAGAAAAGCCCTCTTATGGACCCTGATCCTTTGATTTGTTAGTGTACCACTATTTCCACTGATTCTCCAAATCTAAAATAAAACAAAAATCGGGCCTTTTAAAGGTTATACTATACCTTGCTTGAGAAAATATTCCTCAGTCTCTTCCATTATTTCGAATAGCTTCACTGGACAAACTTTAATATTATTTGTAAATATGTTACATGATTAACTTCGGATTCTTTTAATAGTAATATGCATTATGAATGAAAGTATGACAGAACAGTATTTGTGCCTTATAAAGTAGCCTGGACATAGTTACATATTTTGATCCAAGTATTACTTTTTACATAATTACTTATTTAAAGGAAACGATTATTTTTTCAATAACTTCTTAATAGTATCTCTATTAATGGATTCAAATATGGATTTAATGAATTTATCGAGTGATATTAAGTGATGGAAAAATAAGGATGAATATTATAGGCAGTCAACTCAGTTATGTGCTTGGCAAGATACCAGCAAACTTTTTCAAGTAAGTGATCTCTCTAGGTATATTATTATTTCTGTTCTATGTAATAAACAAACGGAAACAGTTTTGGTTCTTAACAGCTACAAATGAGTAATAAAATTAACTAAGCTATCTCATAGTGTTTGATTTTTCTGTAAACCGTTTCATATAAGCACCCACAATTTAAAAATTAATTTTAACATTGCATGAACATGTATTGGATATTTCCTTCATTTGTAAATCTTTGGATATTACTAATTACTCATTATGAAGTAACAATTTTGAAAAACTTTTATTGACGAAATGTACAATATACTCAATTGTTAAAATAGGAACAAAGCATTTCAAACATGTAATTGATTTTTAAGAAATCTAAGACTACATGTTATTTACTTTTTAAGTCAGCTGCATCATTTTCACCTTCTATATCCGACTGCGAGGTCAAATCAGTATCAGTTTGTGAAGCCAAGTTCTTTTTTGCTTTATTTAGTTCACTCCTCACCAACTTCACCCTTTTCGCTCGCGCCAGACCATGTTTCAACGTTTGACTTCGAACCAACAAATCTTCCAGCTTTGATATCACCTCAGGTCCAGTTTTACCCTAGAAAGTAGTTGTAATAACCATGATGTGGTGCTATTTTCTTTATGTTTAATCATTTTTTTTGTTAATGGATCCAAAAGTACGGTTATAGCTCCAAATTCATCTGAAGCATAGTTCCTTATTGTTAACAGTTACATTTAAAATAAAGTTTGGAAAAAGACGACCGATAATCATAAGATGTTGACTTTCATAGTAGTGTCTTACGGGGTATGTAAATTAAGAGATTTTATCAATTTTTTTGTTTAAAATAATTACAATTTTATATTGTCATCCTCACAATAACTTCCTTCTGAAGCCATACAGCGCTGGAGACGGTTCTGCCACCTCTCATAGCAGTGCTGGAACCCCGATACTGGAATAGCCTTCAGCTAATCAGTTACAGCTGTTTGAATGTTTTCGATTGTCCCAAACCACTTACCCTTACGGTGATTTTTCAACTTTGGTAAGAGAAAAAAATCACAACGGCTCAAGTCAGGCGAATAAGGAGTTTGACGAGCCACAGGGACGTTTTTACTGGCCAAAACCTCGTTTATTGACAACGGTGGTGCGAGTCAAATTTAACTCTTCCCCGACAATTCTGACTGTCAACCGATCAGTTGAACGCACAAGCAGATCCCTGATTCTGTCGATATTTTCATCGGTTCTTGTTCGTGGTTCATATTCAATCGACTCTCTCTGTTCTGTCAATACCTTAAACCACCATAGGTCTGCTGAAGTTTAGCAAGAGTTTCTGTTGCACTGTGCCCAAGTCTCAAGCAAAACCTGATAGCACATCGTTGCTGGAAATTGATGTCACTCATTTTTAGAACACAATAGAAAAAAGTGTTTCACAAAACAACTCAATGACTCGAGCAAGTTCAAACTTGTACTGGCTGTCTCCCCTACAAGTCCGGCGCCTCCAGTGTTGCCAGATCGAACGCTACGTTGCCAGTTTCATCACTTAATTTATAGACCTCGTCTATGTCGCCAGAAGAAACTCTTTTACACTCATTCCCCACCCTTCCATTTTATGATTTCTAACTTTCATGTCGGAAGTAGACATTGATGAATTTTGGATCGACATCTAGGCGTACTTGTGACGTCCGACTGCACAACCTTGTATTTATCGGCTAAAGTATATGGTTTTTGTTCACCAATCTTGGTGATATATAATTGTGCCTACCTGCAAGCTTTCTAACTCCTTGTCAATTTCCGAAGCAAATGTTTCATCACCAGTACTAGCATTTGAAGTATTATCCTTATCAGTGGAAAGTAGACCAGCAGCTTCTAATTCCTTCTTTGCTTGCCTGAATATTACTCCACATTGATCTCGCATTTTTATTGCAGCTCTAAAATAAAAATTTTTGTTGGAAAATTAAATACATACATTATTAACTGGAAATAAGAAAATTCTATACAAAACCTCATCTGACCACATGATATCCAAAAGATAAAAAACATAGGAGTCACTTGCTATACAATTAGAGCAAACAGTCCGACAGGAGTTCCAGCATAGCGCCTTTTTGTGTCAGCATCTTATTGCATTTAAATACACCATTTAGGAATAACCTAAGACAGACAAATTTCGTTTTTCGCTGCTTACCTGTAAAATACAGTATCCCTGTTGTTATACGCTAAACAATTTGCTATCATTAAATCAAAATCTTTTTCCATCGATTTCAAATCAGGATACGCTCCTTCCTCTAATTTTTGTCTCATGGTGCTTATATCCATGGGCTCAGTAACTACAGTAGTATAGTCTGGAACCTAAAACAGAATTTAATATGTAAATATTTGCTTTGGCCTATGATGCTTAATATTGTACCTCGTCCAAATTAACAGGTTCGCTAAAAATTTCATTGGTATCCTTCGCCTGTATCAGATCTAAAACATTTTTCAAACTGGCTTGCAACGGTTTCAATTTGATGTTCCAGCATTTCTCGGACACTCTTGTGTATTCTAGTTTCATCTTTTCTCTTTTTCTCACCAGCTCGCATAATAACCTGAAAAAAAAAATACTTTTCTAACAAGAAAATAACAAGAAGCATCATATCAGGAATTGCGCTTAGTTGAATCGAACCAACACCAAAAGTTGTAGTTTTTAAATAAATAGACGTATCCTACAGAAACTTACGAAATTTAAATTTTCCGATTTACTCTTTTCTTTGTATATAATTACAAATTTCCCCAACTTTCTATGTAAAGGGTATTAACAATGGTTAACGTGATAAAAAAACCTTAAATCATGAGCAACCAGTGATTGTCAGAGTGAAATCGGAATACCATCAGCTGTCAAGTATATTGACTACGCATTGTTGGTCATCCCAGATGTCTAGTAAGTTGCAAGGGTTAAACTTACCGGGCCCTCTCTAGATCTTGTCTCAGACACTGCCAGTATTTGAGTTGCCTACATAGCTCTATCGTGTCCACGTTGCAGGTATTCGAGTCTCTGGTTCCACCTTGAGCACTTTGCAAGCGTCTCAGTAAAGGCACCCCATTCCTGAATTGTCTCTTTAAAGTCCAATAGGCGATTAATCTCTGAATGAACTGAGATTTTTTAGCGATGGTGACCAAAGAGCCGATTTCCTGAATCCGCTCAGGTGGTATTGTAGGGATCAGAATGACTGGTGCTGAACTACGGTTTTTGGCTAGTTTTTTGCGGGCTTGCTGCATCTTTTTGCGAGGATCGTCTTTCTTTAGTTCAGCTGGAAAGACATGCTAGGTGTATTATGGAAAGTTACATTACAAGGTTCTTACTAGCGCGTTTCTATATCAACGTCATTTGTCAAATTGCTAGCAAGCCTTTATCAATGAAAAACATATAATAATCTTAAAGTCAAAAAATGGTCGCAGAATATCAGAACTTTATTTTATTACACACTTCTACAATAATATTAATGTATTTTCTTCTTCAGGGCCATGCATTCGCCGCATTATATTACTCATAGATAAATATGCTTTATAGCCTGAATAATGACATGATTTTTATTAACAAAGTTAGCTTAAAACTAAAACATAACAAACTTGCATATGAGAATCTTAAGCAAATGTATTGTAGAACTCACACAAGGTATAATATAATGATAATAACAGCCACTATAAACTACGCGTACACTGTTATAGAACAAAATGAAAATATCCTTGTGCAAGAATCGCGTTACAATTCATACAACATTTAACACAGTATTCGCAACAAATGGTCTAATTTAAAAAAAAAGTTGGGTTCAATTGGGATTCGAAGCAACTCCATAAAGAGAGTGCTTTCTGGGCCAGGAAGTCTACTGTGATATTCTACAGGCCCTAGTAGTTATATGATAGGTGTATAAGATGGGAAAAATTCTGGAAGTTGATGATTTACATCAAACAAAATCTACCGAAAATATGTAAATGTATCTTATTAAGATTCGAAAGTGCGATAGAATTGCTGCATAATGAATCATTTTTTTTAATCCATCGAAACAACTCCAGTAAATATATTACAGAATTCAAAGTGGAAGAGTGGTTGCACTGTCGCGTGACGGGCAATCTCACTGGAAATAGTTGATCCAACGTTTCTATACCTGATATAAGTCTATACGAGTTCGTACTTTTGAAACAATTTGTGAGTAACTACGCACAATTCATATTTGCTCTTAAGTCGTAGCTTGAATATGTAAGTAAGTGTTATAGCACTAGTACATCTCTCATCTACAATGCATCTGAAGTAAATAATTGATGCCCTTTTTGCAAGTTATACTCTCATGAAAATTTTGATAACATTTTATATTTGAAAGTGTTGAACTAATTTCTTAGCCTTTGGACACTTCATACCTAACGTATACCCTAAAAGTTTTTGCACAAAATTTATTGGCTTTAATTTTCACAATCACAAAATAATATCAAGTTGCCTTTCGAAACAAAAGTTTGTTTACTCACTTTACTGTCAGTTGCCATTTATTTATTTAGAAGTTTTCGCTTTAAGATGTCGTATAAATTAGAAATGAGAAAAAGTTTCTACAAGTTGGATGGTCGGGTACCCAAAGCTGCCGAATAATTTCATAATAAAAACAACTCACGCAGAACCGTGTATGAATCTTCCAAAAAGTGGAAGATCACGTGTATTTACTGCACAGAGGTCAAAGAGATTGGTGAGAAGAGCAAAAAATCAGGTTGGAATGCCAACAAGGAGACTGGATCGTCAATACAGATCTTCAAAGAGTAGGATATCGTTGGAATTGAGGTGGAATGGTCTTAAATATCGAAAGGGACTTAAATTCCCCAATACTATCAAGCGCAACTCCTTCGTAGTATACCAAGATGCTGTCGTCAACTGAGGCGGGTACACTTTGGCAATGGAACAATCATTATTTTAGATGACGAAAAGTATTTCACTTTGAGAGTAATTCTGAAATGAAGGGAAACGACGGATTTTATACGGACAACGTAGATGAACGTCCTGAGATTGCTAGATACAAACATAAAGCGAAATTTGCAGATAAAATCCTTGTCTGGTGTGAAATTTCCAACAGGGGTGTATTCCAACCTTTTGTGGGATGAGCGAGGGGTAAAGCTTTCGATAGACAATCATGGTAATGACCATATCATTTTTTTGGCCAGTCCTAGAATCATGCCATTACTCAAGAGATAGCAAAAACTGGCTTCGACAACACAACATACCTTTTGTTCCTAAAAACAATAATCCTCCAAACTTTCTGCAGGCTCGTCCAATAGAGGATTTTTGGGCTTTAAAGTCTAGGAAGGTTGATGATGGAGGCTGGGAAGACCAAGATAAACAACAATTAAGACGGCGAATTTACAAAAAACAGAGAAATTGATCTGAATTCCGACCAGGACCAACATTCGAAGAAAGTTGCGTCTGGTAGAGAAGAATGGGCCACACCACATAATTCGACAGAATAGTTTAGTTAAGTATTGAGTTGTAACTTATAATAATTCGTTAGTGTTTAAATAAATTTCTTCATCAAAAAAAATCCGATAAATGTTTCGTGCCAAAACTTTTAGGACATATGTTACATACTCCATACTGAAAATCTGTAGTGTGTGTAAACATTCTTTGAATAAAAAGAAATAGTTTCAATAACAAGGTAGGTATCAATAAATCATACTCAGTTAATATTGGTATTAAAATGAATATCCTTAACTACTAACTTATTATAGTTTGTTACAACTTGATATTTTAGCTATACAGTTTTGAAAAAAGCTTGTCGCACGGCATGTTCATAGAGTTGCTTATATTGATTAAAAGCCAACGAGAAAGTTTTAGGAGCATCAATTTATACACAAACCGCTATGGCTTTCTGAAAATGTAACCATGAAGCAAGTATTTCTAGCTACTCTTGTTGCTTCCTTGATGTATCATGAAGTACTTGAGCATATCTAGAAGCATTTTGTAGTATTTTGAAGTGTCTCAAAGTGTTCTGAAACACACCATCAGGTTCTTCTAACTGATTAAAAGTATTGAAATAAAATTTCACTACAGAACCACCCATTGAAACGCACAGTATAGGTGTTCTGAACAGCATTCAGCATCATACAAGTAACGACATCTGTCCAAATTGTTAAAACGGTTTTTGTGATCCCAATTCACTCCAAAAACGTATTACATGCGGTAACCTGCCATTCCCTATCTTTCTGTATAAGACTTTTATCACCGATTTCAAAAACGCAGCAACAAGGTCCTACGGTCCAGTCACTTTCACCATCTTAAGTTGCACCAGTTACAGCTTTTTCATCAAACACACTGAATAAAGAAAATTTTACTTTAATTTGTAGCGATTAAGATTCGATATCCAATAAATTTATCTATTTACGTGTTATTTATTAAACAGGTGATAAGAATTCATCCTATCCTACCTTTGGTCATAAATTCGATTTTACCCGGAATCTTTTTTTTACATCGAAGCAGCCGCGCAGGCAGAACCCTAAATGTCGGGGCACCGCGGCTGCTATCAGGAGCATAAAGAAACTTTGTTAATCCGATTTGTGAACTGCTTAAGATTAGGATAGGAGACCGAATTCAGGCGGGTCTATCTGGCATGTGTACCATTTTTTCACTTGATTTTACTAATCATGTAGACCAATTGTTTACTCAACTATCAAATATTTCCTATGAGAACAATTAGTTAAAACCTAGGGAAAAGCAAAGCATTAAGCAGTGACTTTGCCTTATTTGAAAGTAGATTGAGATATATAGCATTCCCTTTTGGTGTCTCCGTTCTCAAATTGTTTAAAAAAGTGCTTGTTACACAAAAACGAACTACTAGATATATAACTGAAAGCAATCCTAGAGCTACATAGATGCCTTTACTTCTAAATCTCAAAATAATGACTGTACCTTCATTCTTCATTTTAGAAACAGCAATTCCTGTTTTTAAAAATAAATCTAAATTTGACACATAATTAACACACCATTAGATGAAAAACAAGATCTTAAATTAATTTTACCTAAATAATGTTGTGAAAGAATAATTTATAATGGTCTGAAAATTTACATGTGCCTCCCTGATGGTATCAAAAGAATGGACAATTTAAAGATATTCTGCTGTGAATTTAAAAACCTTCCAATATGTTAACCATATTATTCCATATGTGTGAGTTCTGCAATTAATTTACTTAAGAGCCACATATGTAATTTTGTTATAGTTTAGTTTCAAGTTAGCTTTGTAATTAAGAATTACTGTATTCTTCAGACAATAAAGCTTTCAACCACTCTCAGCCAGTTATAACCAGAAGACCATTTCTTGGAGACGAGGGAGAAGAAAAACTAATATTTAAACCTATTGGTTGTTCTACTAAAGTCACAACTGTCCGAGTTCTCTTTCTAATTTCTATTTTACTATATTCCCTCATCACTTACGGCTCTCAGCAGGTGCATGCGTATCACAATAGGCAATTTTCTGAACTAGCACAGGTTGCGAATCGCCACTATTCTTCACGGTATCCATTTTCATGTAAAGTCCAGCCTGTTGAGCACATGTCACGTGGAATGCAGAGTAACAGCTATTTTTGTGGCACTGAATACATGCTCCCACACCTTTCTGCTTGCAGACATAACAAGTCAGCTTCCATCTTGCTGCTGGTATTGTTTCAATGGAATCTGAAAGCAAAAATGCCTATTATGTCCTCTGCAGTGAATCACCTGATTTATTGGAAGAATTCAAAATCCAGAAAGCAAAATAAATATCTAAAATAAACAATTCAAGTAGACTGACTCGGAAGCTTATTTGTATTGAGTATAAAACACTCATTTTTCAAACTATCCTGAGGTTTTCAGGAGTTATATTAGCAATGCACTTGAATTGACGAGCATACTAATGATGGTTATTAAATATTTATGAAAGGTTCTGTTCCAGAACTGACAAACAACTTTGATTCTAGTAAGGAATTTAAGGGTTTCAAGATTCTGAAAAATTTTACCATTAATATCATTTTGTGGCAGACATCCACTAAGTAGTGTTTGAAGGATTCTTAGTACCCACAATGAAAAAAAACTCGTATTCTTTGGTTTTTCGAAATTCATTTTGGGTATAATAAAAAAATTAATGTTGGAATTTTTTGGAAAGCAACTCTTTAGGTAGATCGGAAGTATGTCCATGACTCTATTTTGACTCTTGACTGAGGTCTACCGATTTTGACAGATGAATTTGTACAATTGGTTCCAATTAAGATATGGTGAGTACAGTCAGTCATCGACTAAACTCATTTCTTTTAAAGAAGTCACTGTAACTGTTACTCTCAAATAAAAATCTTACCTATAGGCTCCAAAAACACAGTATTGGCAAATCGAACTTCTGGTATCCAAAGGGCGCACACAACATGGGCCCATGTACCTCTATCAGTTTGCTTAAATGCACCTCCCTGATTGGGACATAATACACAATCAACTGCTCTGCTAGGGGACTGAAGACATCTAAGGCAATACCGAAAATATTTAGCTTTGATATCAAGAAACCGCATATCAAAAATTGTAATGTTTTGTTTAACACTAAGAATGCATAGTCATTCCTTGAGATCCCTTCATTGTGAAGAAGGCAAGTAGCCTTATTTCACAGAATTGACGGAGGTTGCAGAATAACAAACAGTTCGGTCTTTTTCTGAATCTTGATACCTCGTTTTAGCTGATTGCTTATGATCACTTGGTAATTTGATGCAGAATGTATATATAGACAATTATAACTAAAATGAGTATTGTCTTGCGTTAGTTCAGGAAAGTAGTGAAATAAAGTAATCGTCAAGGCTTGCAACTATGCAATGCAACAAGAAGACCTCAGATTGAACAAGGATGCTTTCTTCCTTGATAAAGATATTTGATAGCTCTCCTGTCACTCAATACTGTCAAGGCAAATAAGCCGTCCCCACATTAGAGGAGGCTACAAGTTTGTCTATGCAAACCCTGGAATTATAAGTTTAGAGTGTGACATTTCATTTTTGACATTTAAAACAGTACAATTTGTTAACTAACCTTCTGCAGAGCCATTGCCCCTCTGGAATGTATGGCACGCCATAACAGTCTTGATGTACAGCTAGGTTACACATGTCACAGAAAAGAATAACATTTGTATTTTGACACTCTCCGTCCATACAGATGCAGCAGACTGCATCATCATCAACAACTGAGCCGGACTGACCATTTACAGAAGCCTAAAAATATTTATAACTATATGAGCATGAAAGAAAAAATAAGCCGTATTTATATTATCACAAAGTTCAAATCATAAGAAGCTAGAACAATAATATATTGTTTTATCTGCAGCTGAGCATTAAAGTGTACTTTATGGATATACTACAAAACAGTATAGACATAGCGCATGTGCTCCTCACAAAAACTACAAAACCGTGTAGAAAAAGATGGAATAATATTATTCTAATTTTTACACGAAATGGAAAGTTAAAGTGTCGTTTTCATTGACGTGTTCAAAAGTGATGTGCTGTACTGCACTATCAGCATTAAGGAGAAGAGGTTGATTAATCCAAGTGAGCACAAAAACATCTCAAGAATTCTGTAAGAAAAACACCAGTGAACCGTGTATCAGCAATTTTTCTGGTGTCATGCTAGAAACTAACTAGTGTAAGACCACTTGAAACGTGAAAGTGTGTTCAGCTTTTCAGTATGGAATATTTTTTTGATAAACTTTAAGGCTCATCTGTGATCGTGTAAAAATTTCAGATATAAATATGGAGAAATCTTGAAAAAAATTGTTTTCTTTGTAACAAAAAGTGATAGACACATCCGGTTTGTTTTAAAATGTGTATAATAACACATATACGAAATGTTTGAATTTGTTTAGAAGAAAAAAACGTAACCCTTCCTTTTTCGTATAAAAATAAAAATTGTCTTTCGGAATGATTTGTTATTTACGTCAGCAAGGTGAATTCGTGTATTTTGATATAAAATGCCCTTTGAACGATCCCTGTATATTTCTCAGTAAACTAGTAGTGATGGCCGGAAGGCAGGAGTTTTGGGATAAACAATTAGAAATTATCAATCGACTCCAATTTTGTTGTGGTAATTTAGAAGTATGAAGCCTACGGATTTGAAGAATTTCAACGATCTGCGTGAAGTTATCGTCGCATTAGCAACAAGTGCAAAACCTGCATTTTGTATCGGGTTTCGGCCATAACTTTTTTACTATTAGTCGGATCTTTTTACGTGTGGTCTCACTTTGTAGGTCTCATCAATAACTAAAAATCTTATTTGAAGAGTTTTTTCGTTCCTGCCAACAATTTCAATTGAATCCCAAAAACACGTTTTCTTATTCTTTGTTATCGAATACAAAGTTTTCCCACAAAAAATTGTCTACAAATTTTATGCGTCCATATTTTAAATACCCCTTTGAACAACTTGGATCAATAAAACCAGACTTTACAATTATTTTACAAACCAGGGGTATTTTCCACTAATATGATTAGACTAACTACAGTTAGGATTTGCTTGTAGAATAGGATTTATTTCATCCACACAATTTCCCAAGGATGGAAAATGTTGATGAATCACAATGTGTTTGGTTTTAAGTAAGCTTCAATCAGTCAAAGTTTTTTGCTGGTGATTCAAAGCCACCTTACTCATTTGCTACTCCTTCATTCCTTGTTATAATATTATTTTCTTCGAATCGTTAGCCAATTATGGAGTTGAATATTTCATAAGCAACACCAGGTCGCCAGAAACCTCTCTCATATAATTTATCTTTATTTCATTTATTATTATTCAATACAATACTGAAATGCTAAGCCTGCAATCAATCAAACCTGATAATCTTGTGATCATATCAAGCAAACTGAAAAATAAGTACAGTTCTAGTGCTGATGAAATATCAGCAAACATTGTGAAAGAAATTAAAGATATTTCATGTTACATTATTAATAATTCTCTAAAATTTGGAATTGTCCCTGAACAAATGAAGGTGTCAAAAATAAAACCATTGACAAAAAAGGGTGATCCATTCTTTATTGATAATTATAGCAGTTTGTTTGCTTTCTCCATTTATTGTACAAGTTGATGAACAGTGCTCAAATGTTTTGTTAGACCATCATCAATATGTTTCCTCTTATTGGATACTAAGATGTTTATTGCTTATTCTTTAGCTATGATGTATTTATTGCATGCCACACTTTGAATTCCAAGTTAATAAAAATTTGAATTTACCTGAAAGTAAGATTCTTTCTCCAATCGATCCATTAACAGCTCCAAAGAATCAACAGAAACTGGTGCAAGGCCAGCTGCCTCTCTTTTCTCATTCACAATGGAAAGCCAAGCAGTATCTTCCTCATCCACATCATATTCCACTTCTCCATCTAGTTCTTCAGTGCTCTTTTCTATGAATCGAATGTAGGCATTGGGTCGTAGAGGGGCATCACATATGTTGTACAAATCTAGTTCTTTGTAACTAGCTTTTGGTAGGGTCAGTACTGGTTCTAAAAACATATTGTAATCTAACCAAATTGATTACTATGTGATGCAGTTACATTTGTGTGCAAATAAACTGCCAGGATTTTGGTGCCTCCAAAATGTTCATAATTTATGAAAGCATCCAAAATTATAAAGTCACATGAAAGGAGCAAGATTTCATTCAAACAAAAAACATTATTTTTTTGATAGATTCTCATTTTTTTAATCACATAGGATAAGGTTATGTATAGAAAATCACATTAAACAGCCCTTTCAATTTTCATAAGTATGGCTGAATTTTACTGTAGCAGCATCTTTTAACGCATATATGTTGGCTTATTGGTATAAGCCTTTAACTTGAATCGATTATGGTGATTTGGTTAGGTTGTGTTTAACGAGTATCCACAATAATCTTTCGGAATCGAGGGAATAAGATCGAACTAAATAGTAAGATCTTACACTGCGGTTTTAAAGAACCATATCTCCATGATACCATCATGACCTTGGGAAGTAAATGCTCTTTCTGTAATTTAATGCATTATTTTACTGCGATACCTAGTTCGACTGATCCTTTGTTGTGATTCTTGGAGAATATAGTATGGAAGATGAGGATGAAATTACTAAATAGATCCTTAACATCCTACAAGAAATGCGAAGTGATCTTAAAGAGGCAAAGGAATCTCTAGTCACACAGAGGAATAGGATAGACGACATAGACTCTAGAATAAAGGGCCTGGAAACAGAAAACGCCGATTTGAAGTAACAGGTTGTTGTTCTTCGAAGAAAGGAACTGAAGAATAATTTAGTATTATTCAGACTTGAGGAAACATAGAATGAAGTTTTGCTAAACAACATAATAACATTATTGCATTCAAATCTTGCAGTTATGATCACTGAGTCAGATATAAATAACATCTATCGAATTGGAATAGCAAACAGTAACACACTGAGACCAGTCAAGTTAGAGTTAGTTAGGAACATTGTTAAACAAAAAATAATAAAGATCGCATATAAACTTAAAGGCACAAATATAGCTATTGTGGCGGATTTGATACCTGAGGATAATTAGTTGCAAAAAAACAGTCAGGAAACATACATAAAAATAAGCTTCTAGTTAATGGTGTTGCTTACAGAGCCGAGGAATCAGCTCTGGATCTCACTGAAACTTAATCGCAAAACATTCATAGTTAGTGTTGTCTATCGCCCCCTGTCTGCTAATGTTGTGATCATGTTTTGCGAATTGGAGTCAGCTGTGAATCTTTTTCTATCAGATAGTGATTTGTTTGCTATAACTGGTAATCTAAATATAAATATTCTGAATCTAGATCGTATGATTTCCTTGAGGCATATAATTTGACACAGCTTATTGAATCTCCTACGAGAATAACCGAATCTGCGAGTACATACATACATAATAGATTTGCTCTTAGTAGGTGATCCGGATGACTTCACTTCTGTCGATACCCTTGATGTTGGTATTTCAGACCATTGTGTTTTGACTTTTAAAATTCATTTTCCTAAAGTGAGTAGATTTGGGAAGTTATTAAGATACCGCGATTAATTAAAGTTTGACGCAGATTTATTTTATGACGATCTATATTCTGTTAACTGGAGCTTCATCTACACACTATCAGATGTAGACTCTATGGTGGATTATCTTAATCGCCACATACCTTATCGTCAAGTGAGGGTTAGTAAACTGCCTGCTCATTGGCGTAAATATAATTTAAAAATGATGATGTCACTTAGAGATAACGCTTTTAAAAAATATAAATGTATCAAAAGTACGGCAGCTTACAACTACAATAAGGAGTTAAGAAATTATGTTACTGGTGCGATCAGAAGAGAGAAAGCTGCGTATTCGAGTTATATCCTCACCAAAATAAATCAAAAATCTACACGGAATTCACTTAGATCTTTGGAGATCTGAACTACCACTCAAGTTACTGGTGCGATCAGAAGAGAGAAAGCTGCGTATTCGAGTTATATCCTCACCAAAATAAATCAAAAATCTACACGGAATTCACTTAGATCTTTGGAGATCTGAACTACCACTCAAGTTAAAGAATAGCAACACTGTGAACGCATAATTTAATAGCACCCCAAATTTGGCTAAAACTCAACTTCAAATTGATATGCTTAGAAAATATAATTCCCAAGTAATGCAAGCTAATGAAGATTCTTTTAGATTCACAACAGTTAATTCCCACACTGTTTCAAATTTCTTAATAGAATCAAAGGCTCCTATGGTATTTCGTTACCAACGGCTTACCTGTGCTATTCAAAATAATATTATTACTAGCTTCCAGTAAGGTTTTCGTCCTCATCATCGTACTTCTACGGCTTTAATGAAGATTATGGATGATGGTATTAGGGCAACTGATCAAGGTAATTGCATTTGTCTCGTTTTACTCGACTCAAAAAATTGATATATTTCGGTTTTTCTTTCAACTCGGTGCTACTTCTTGAGAGCTTCTTAAAAAATCGCACTCAGAGTACAGTTATAGATGACAAGCACTCTTCCTCATTGAATAAAGCTTTCAGTGTTCCACAAGGTTCGGTCGTGGGTCCACTCCTTTTCAGCTTATACACAAGTGACTTTTGCTCTAAAGCGGCAAAAAGTTCATCCTTGTTTGAATAATTTTTATCTCGTATTTGCTTATCTAAGTATTCCTATAGATTTTCAATGGGGTTTACATCGGGAGACTGTGAAGGCCATTTGAGAACTGGTATTTTTCATCCAGAAAGAATTTCTTTGCGAGATTGAAAGTGTGCTTCGGGTCATTATCTTGCTGGAAGATTGATCTTAACCCTTAATTACCCGCATGGGGTCAAAGCAGTTTCGCATTCAAAAACGAAGGATTTCCCGCGGTCCTAATTTCCCCGCGCCCCCGCTAGCTTGAGACCGCGCGTCGACGTTTGTGTTTTAGTAGCGACGATGTCACAGGAGTCTAAGGACACGTCGTTGCGCTTTTGAGCAGTGACCCCGTGCGACTAATTACGTTACTTTTTTGAAAAAGGTAAGTTGCTTATTTTATGTATTTTTTTGTTTTATTGATCCGATTTGTATTATTGAATGTCCAGTTTATAAATTTATTTAATAAATATGTTTTGTGTAGTTTTATAAAATGAAAGTACCGAAAAATTACGTTTTACTATGAGTTTTGTGTCTGTTTCCAGAATTCGTCATGGATAGAAGAGAACAAATTGAGAACTGGTTGGTTGAGGCTTCTGATGAAGAACAAGTTGGAGGGTCAAATTCTGAGTCGGAGTTAGACGAGATAACACAAAGCGATATAATAGTGCTAGTGAAATCGACGAATTGTCCGCACACTCCAGTGAGTCTTCAGACAACGAGGACGACGGCTGTGCTAAATTCTATTTTACCAGACATAATGGCAGAAACGGTCCTAAACTAAAATGGTCAAAGTCTCCACCAACAAGCTCCGCAAGAACACGAAGACATAATATAACTTTACACTTACCCGGTGTCAAGTCATCAGCGAAATCCGCAAAGACTGCTTTGGAATGTTTAAGTTTGTTTTTTTCTGATGACATTATCAATTTGCTGGTAAAATGTACAAATCAGTACATCGAAGTCGTCAGAGGCAAGTTTCAAAGGGAACGTGACGCAAAAGATACAGACGTTGAAGAAATAAAAGCATTGCTGGGTTTGTTGATCATGTCTGGAGTGTTGAGAGCTTCACATCTCAATTTCATAGATCTCTGGGCCACCGACGGAACCGGTGTAGAGATGTTTCGTTGGAACACTGAAGAAAAACAAACCCGATATACCTGAGGAGATTTTACCAGACAGAAGTCAATTCAGCTGTCTGTTCGGATTTCAAAAGACTCTAACCATGGTTTCAAATGTGCCAAAACCAAATCAAGCTGTTGTGTTGTTATCCTCCATGCACCATGGAGCTCACATCGGCCCAGGTTCAGGTGATCAGCAGAAGCCTGGAATAATTATGTATTACAACAGCACTAAAGGAGGAGTGGACACCAATGATCATTTGTGTGGTACATACAGCGCAGGAAGGCGAACCAAACGATGGCCGTTAGCTATTTTCTTCCATCTTATAAACGTTGCATGCATAAATGCTCTCGTTGTACATCGGGCAAATACCACTAAATCACGTACTCACATGAGGCGTAATTTTTTGCGGCAATTTTCCGTTGAACTTGTCCATAATCACCAGAAACGTCGGCTTGATGTCCATTCAACTCCTAAAGTAATAAAGAAACGACTTATAGAAGTTCATGACTTGGACAACCGCGCCCCACCAACCACTGCAAAACGTGGGCATTGCAACAACTGCCTGCGGAAAAGTGATCGAAAAGTATTGACTAAAGGCAAAAAGTGCACAAAATTTGTGTGCAATGATCACTCAGACATATACTGTCAACAGTGCAAGAAAAGTGATTCGGATAGTTCCTAACATAATCATAAAAGTTTGCCTTGATCTCTTGATATAAGTACAAATTGTTAATTTTCAACTATTATTTTATATAAGCTCAATTTTTTTCATTAGATAGTAATTCATGTTATTTCTCTTAAATATCATAATATAAATAAAGCACTTTAATAATAAAATAGTTTGATTTCATTTTATATTTAATATATATTAAAAAAATATCCTACAACTTGGGGTCACCTGTGACCCCATGCGAGCAGTTATGTAATGTTCTTCATGCGAGTAATTAAGGGTTAAGGGTATATTGTCTTCCATATAGGGTAACATGACATGCTTTAGTATGTCTGTGTATACAAACTTATCTATAATGCCATCTATTCTATGTAAAGGTCCCATCCCAAACCCCGAAAAGTACCCCCAAACCATAACAGACCCGCCTCCATGTTTGACAGTGCGCGTAATGAACACCGTCTGATCCAAACATATTGAACTTGGATTCGTCACTGAAACATACCCTCTTCCAGTCACAGATGCTCCAATCAAGATGCAACCGTGCAAATTGTAATCGGTCCTTACGGTTTTTCCTCGAGATTAGGGGCTTCTTACTCGGGCGTGCAAATAAGTTCAAATCATTTAATCTTCTACTTATAGTTTTCGTAGAAACACTGACAATTCCTTTTGTCTTGATTTAGGCTTTTATTTATCTTGGGGTTTTAAACGGATCTTTGGACAACATTACTTTCATTAATCTAACTGATCTAGCATTCAGTTTTCTAGGCCGACCACTTCACTTAGAGGCTTCCAAGATACCTCTTTGTTTATATTTGTTCAATATTGCCTTAACTGCTTTACACTTCAGCTTCAAATTTTTGGCAATGTCGACTTGATGTTGACTCAATGATCTTAGTTTTCACATCAAAAGAAATTTCTGGACCACGCGGCATGGTCTTAACTTACTCCACAATATTTGATGAACACAAACTAATCCTCTTCTGACACGAAACTGTACTAAACTAATGTTGAAAAGAATTTGTCTACATATTTTTGTCCCTCATAAAAAAGTGCTTATATTCAGACTTGTATTGTGATCATTGCAGATAATGTAAAAACTAGAACTTTAGTTTTTCTACTAATAACGCATGTGTTTATCGAGCAATGAAGTATGAATTCGTTTTCTAAAGGTATTTAGGTAAATATTCATATTTGTCTATATACTTTTGGCCATTACTGTATATATCGTTCTCCGCACCCGAAGCTGTTACTGCACAGATAGAACTGAATAAAGATTTAAAATCTCTATTTAACATTATAGAACATAATTTACAGCTAAATCCAAAGAAATCAGAAGACATGATTTTTGTCAATAAAAATAAAAGACTTGATCTGGCACATTTTCAGTTATTATAAATGATGTAGCTTTGCCAATAACCAGTGAAAATAAAAATCTAGGCATATGTCTGGACTCTGATCTAAGATATACAAAACATATTAGTCACTTGTCAGGCCTAGTATAATGGTTAAGACAACTTTATCCCACCAGGAGTATGTTATCAAAATTCATGAAGGTCAAACTATGTGAAGCTTTGATTTTGTCTAAGCTCTCTTACTAAGACTGCATATAAGGACCTACCCTTTTGCAAACAGGTATTTTAGGCATTCAGCAAATTAAAAATTCTTGCATCAGGTTTGCATATGGTATCCGAAAGTATGACCACATCAGTGAATGCTTTATGGATTCTGGTTGGCTTACTATGATTAACATAAGAAAACTTCATTTTCTCACATCAGTACACAAGATTGTAGAACACCTACTTATTTATACAATAAACTTACTGATAATAAAGTAACTCGCAATAAACATCTTTTGGTTATTGCTAAACATTCAATGGCTCTGTTTAAGCACAGTTATTTATATGATTCTGCGAAACTGTATAACAGCTTGGCAGTAGATCTTAAAAAATCTGAGCCTCTACAATTTTAAAAAAGATTTAAAGCTGATCTCCTGCATGAACAAAGGCCTAAGATATAACCAAACCTTGCTATGTTTTGACGATAATATCCCAGTATGTTTCTTTTTAGGTCATCTTGTTCTTTTTTTGCAAGAGTTGTGCTCTCATAAAAACAGCATTGGTGATGTTCTTGTATGTTCTATTTTGTATTGTATATTATGTTTTTTTATATATATTTTGTATGAGTGTTATTTTTTGTGGGTTTAGTTGAAAAGCAGCTTAGGCTGAACTACACGTTTCATCATTTTATTATTGAATTTTTTTCCTCAAGTTATTTATAATGATGAATAAATGATGAAATTGTTATTATTATAACTTCAAAGAAAGACATAAAAAGCCATACAATGCTGTTAAATCACATTATTTAGGGCCAATTCTGATTGTCAAAACAAGAGAGTATTGTATAATAAAATTCAACTCACCTTGTGGTTTTTCAGGTTCAACTTTGATTTCCATGTCCACATGATCTTCTGAAAAACCTTCCTTTGGTACAACATCCAGAGGGTCATTTATGTTCCACCTACAAGCTACACCATTTACCTCAAACTGTACCATTTTTTGAGCTTCTTCAAAGGTTAAGGGTTCTGGGGCACTAGGGGTAGGTGGAATTTTTCCTTTGGTCAATCTGTTTCTTCCTACAGAATATGGAAAATGTAGATAAATAATTTAGCTTAGGTATCTGCTGTTTTCTACCTTTTTTGTTCTTTGGTGTACTTGGTGTGGTTGGAGTCTGAGGTGCAGGATTGGGATTATCATGATCAAATGTTTTTAGGTGATGTTGTAGACCACACACTGTTTTATACACTCTGTCACATTTTTCAACTGGACATGGATATGGAGGACCATGTTCGGACCTTACTTTTCTGCAGTGCTCTAAAATATCGAAATCAATTCCCATTATCACTCTAATAATCATCAATGTTTGTATTTATCTAGACGCCAAGTATTCATAACCTAAAAAATAATTTGACGTCTTTGTGCTGACAGGTCACAGTCGCCGGCGTCCGTCGTAAGACAATTGTCATAGAATACAGAAATAATGCTAGTGTCACATTGCTGATTGAACTAAAAATCAAGGAAACTAAACTAGTGAACTAAAAATCAAGGAAACTAGTGAACTAAAATTAAACCGGTCCCACACGATGTAGCGGATTCCGTACAGCGTTGGACACATGGCCATTCGCCACATCGTGTGGGAGAGCGATGACGGATTACACGTGTCCAACGTTCGTCACATGGCACGTTCGGGCTCTTGTCGGTAAATTTGACCCCCGTCAAACGACGTTACAACTTTGGAAGCAAGGTTCTTTACGCTCCCACATGAAATGTCATGTGTTTGATGGTTTTAGGTTAGAACCAGTAGCGGCGAAAAACATTATTTACTTGTTTGCTGTGATTATGGCGAAGTAGTGGTACGTGGGAAGTATTTTGATTTGAATACCTACCTATTCATAATAATGTATGTTCCGTAACTAACTTTTGAGGTGAATGAATTAAATTAGTATACATACAAAGCATAGGCAGCCATAACAACACTTTTTTCATATTGCTAATATTCTGTACGTTTTGCAGGTGAGTTACGGCTGGTCTAAGTATATGTATTTTAGTGGAATTATAAATTATCAAGTCCTTACAGGTGTTTCATTATAATGTCCTGTTGCAATGCAAGACTAGTTGATAGATTTGACTTGCATTTCATAACTAACGAAAACGATTAAATAAATGATAACTCTGAAAGTACTATCAGGATTTTGATGAAATTTTGACCCTATGAACATGACGAAAAAGCGCAACGACCATGCTTCCAACGTTGTAACGTCCTTTGACGTAGGTCAAATTTACCGACAAGAGCCCGAACGTGCCATGTGGGGAACGTTGGACACATGTAGTCCGTCAGCGCTCTCCCACACGATGTGGGGTATGGCCGTGTGTCCAACGTTGTAAGGAATTCGCCATATGATGTGGGACCGGCTTAATCATTAGTCTTTTGTGCTGTAAACCAACCTTACAGTTCTTGACAGATGACAATAGAAATTTGACATCCTAACTTTTGACTCTGACAATATAGATATAGACGTTTCTTTCATTTCAAAGTCATAACAAAAATGGTAGGTTTTTCTTGAATTATTTTAATTTTATAAATATCTCAATAATCCAATAAATGTTTTAATGATCCTTAAATAAAATTTGTAGCGGAGCAACTAATTTAGCTAGGCGATCGTGTATTTTCCGTTGGATAAAAAGTTTATTTTAGTATTTAACAATATAACCTAGCTTTATATCCTTTTTAGTCTTATATTTTCATGTATTTTAATTACAGACGAAGGGTACGTCAAGTTTTGGTAAACGTCGAAATAAGACCCATACACTTTGCAGAAGATGCGGTAGATCGTCATACCATATCCAAAAATCACAGTGTGCACAATGTGGATACCCTTCAGCAAAAATGCGTTCATGTAAGTGTAATGGCAGGCTTTTTATTAGACCCTATAACTTTGTATATACAACTTCTTCAGAAAGGCCATATAAAAGAGTTAGAGGGGGTCAATATCTAGCCAAAAACCCAATACCTAGACAGTTTGTTGAATATATTGAAACAAACTAGTGAATTCATAGAACACATTCTAGCAGGTTTAAAAATGTGTTTTGTCTGGTTGGATAAAGGTGAACATCACAAGCAAAGTTAATCTGATCAATGAAGTACCTAGGAGAAATTCCTTAAACTATGTTGTAGATGAAAACCATTGCCAGATAGAACACCCTTTGCAACACATAAAAAATTTAATGTTTTCAGCATTGCCTTTACAGGTGTCAAGTTTGAAATTGCTTGGAGTTTTCTAATCTAAAATTTGTAGACTTGAACTAAGATTATTAAAATAACCAAATTATCCAAGCAACAGGAAGGACTGAAAGTGTCTATGCAAGAGAGGTTTCCATTTAAAAGAAATACAACAAAAATCGTCTTTTAATGAAAACTGAATATATTAAAGAAACTGGAACATTTAAAACATTTATGTATATAAATGTTTTACAAATATAAAAAAAAATATAAACTTTTTCTTTGAAATGGTGTCTTGAAATCGTATTTCTAAAGTAGAAAGAAGCTCCAAAGACTCCCTAATTTTTGACAAAACTTTTGAGCTGCTTGGTCAGGGTAATAGCTTTACCATAATTTGGAATAGCTTCTGTTGGAACTGGAACCTCATCAAAATCAGAATCTTCTGAAAGTTCTTTTATTTCAACTGGATTTTCAATTTCTTGTCCTGAATCTGGATCTTCAACATACAAACTTTCATCTAGGTTCAAAAAATCATAAAAGGTTTTCATGATTGGTCAATTTCAATACATTAAGTCGTAAGTCATCTTTTGGGTCAGGTGTATCAGCCTCATTCAACTGGTCTTCACTTTGCTTATTTTCATGCTTAAATTCTACTTTGCGAAAGCAATGCATTGTTTTGTGGTTACTTGGTTTCAAGCAGTGTTTGCCATATAAACTGCATCCAATGCCATTGATTAACTCAAAGCAGATTAGACTTCTGTAATAAGTTTTAAAATTCTTTATAATCCCTCAGTCAAGTGGTTGACAAGCTCATGTACAATACGGGGGTGAAAATAATATTTTTATATTATTTAAGCGAATGTCTTTTGGATGAGATCCCGCATCGTCTTAAAATAAATGTTTCTTTTTTCTTTAGCGCCATTTTCCAATCTATGTCAGAGTGGTTGCAACAATCTGTCATAATTTGGAGTCATTTCTACACTGAATGTGTGTCACCCTCTGTCTTTTCCGCATATACCTCAGACTAATACTGAATGGAAATTTTATTGAAAGCATGTACCCAAAGAATAAGAATGGTAAATCCCTGACGAACTACACATAGGCTGCATTTGAACTGAAAGATTAAAGTCGGGAGTCTCCAGCTTGCTCGAGAAAGTCCCAAAGATGGCGCACTGAACGATTGAGAAATGCAATAGCGATACTCTCAACAGAAAAAAAAAAAATAGGCAAGGCGTTTCTATTTTGTTTTTTTTTCCGGTTAGTATAACATTTTCTCGTGTCCGAGTCCTTGCAAGATAATGTCTGTCCAAAAGATAGTTAATACAATGCAAATTATATGAGATCCGGTCGCGACCATGAGAAACTGTCCGTTGTAAAAAGGGTGTTTTTGAAGGGGAATTTCACTGTACAGTGTTGGCAATTTGTGTTTATTTTAGATTACTTAAATTTGATATCAAATATTTAAATATACTAAATACTTTGTATTTACAATGTTTTAATTTTTGATAATGTAGATATTCATTTGACTAAATTTTGAGTGTTTTCTTTGTAATTTTATTTTTCCAATACTACTTCTTCGTCATTACAGACAATTGGTCTGTTAAGGCTAAAAGGAGGAAGACTACTGGAACTGGCAGACTGCGTCACTTGAAAATTGTCAGAAGGAGGTTCCGCAATGGGTTCCGTGAAGGTGGAAAACCAGTTAAGAAAAGTACATAGAATGTTGTATGTATGTGATTAATATAATAAAAGTTTTTCAAAAATATATGATTGTTATTATTAATGTTGACAGTTGGGACTATATGTACTATTTTTTACGAGTATGCATTACGTTTTGAAAAATTAATAATGAATATAGCTTCTGTAAAACAACCAGTGATGTATAAAATGGATTTTGCTTATTACTTCAACCTGCAAATGAAACAGTTAAGGCAAGTGTCCATTTACAGCCCTTCCTTCCTAAGTAATTCTGGAACATGGATTATAATTAATGTGAAGGTGAAAATTCCTATACCGGGTGGTCCATCTATCGTTTTTTTTTTGAGTTACTGGTTTTTTTGGATATGTCAAGACTTATTTCGCATCTGATTTGACAGAACATCAGTCATATCATTCCGATTAACGAAAATGGTTGTGTATTCGCTTGAACAACGCTGGGAAATATTAAAACAATATTTCGAAAGTGGAGGTAATGTTGCAGATTGTGTCCGAAAATTACGTGCAAAAATGGGAAGAAATGAAGCACCGTCAGCACCGTATGTGAGGTATTTTGTACAAAAAGTTCGTGAAACTGGTCTTATTGACAAACCAACACGTGAAAGACCGAAAACGGTGCGTACACCCGAGAATATCGATGCTGTAGCTGAGAGTTGTGGCAGAGTCTCCAAGCACATCAACGCGCCAACGTTCTCAACAACTGAACATGTCACGCACATCATTAGGTCGAATTTTGCATAAAGACCTTGGTATGAAGGCGTACAAAGTTCAATTGGTTCAGCAATTGAAGCCAACTGACCATCCAATGCGTTTTCGCTTCGCTTCATGGGCCTGCAATCAACTTGATCAAGATGTTGATTTTGGTCGAAAAATCATCTTTTCAGATGAAGCGCATTTTCATCTTGGCGGCTATGTTAATAAGCAAAACTGCCGCATTTGGGGTTCAGAGAACCCACACGCAATCGAAGAAAAGCCAATGCATCCAGAAGGAGTGACTGTTTGGTGCGGATTTTGGGCTGGTAGCATCATTGGCCCATTATTCTTTGAAAATGAAGCCGGAGCAGCAGTTACTGTGAATGGTGAGCGTTACCGTGCCATGATAAATGAATTTTTCTTTCCACAAATTCAAGATATTGATGTCGGTAACATCTGGTTTCAACAAGACGGTGCTCCGTGTCACACAGCAAACGCTACGATTGCTCTTTCGGTGTTTTCGGTGATCGCATTATCAGCCGAAATTCTGATGTTGTTTGGCCGCCTCGGAGCTGTGATTTGACCCCATTAGATTATTATTTATGGGGTGCCATTAAAGACCAGTGTTATGCCAACAAACCAGCAACAATTGGCGAAATAAAAGAGAAATACAGCCACATACGATTGAAAATGTGGTCAAAAATTGGACTGACCGTATGGGCTACTGCAAAGCCAGCCGCGGCAGTCATTTAAATGAAGTTGTATTCCATACTTAATCGGAAGGATTGTACTTTCAAATAAAAAAAAAATTTGGAAAAATATTTAGTAGTTTTTTTTATAGCATTTTTAAAAAAAAATTTAAATGGACCACCCAGTATTTAAGCCTAAATGCCAGGGCACCGCGTATGCTATTAAAGAAACTTTATCCGATTTTTGAACTGTCTAAGGTTAGTAGAACTGGGAAAAGCCTCCTCTAGTAGACTGTTCCAAAATCTCAATACCCGAGGGACAAAAGAGCTGTCATATCGGCCAGTACTGGATGAACGAAGCTCGACATGGTTAGGATGGGAGTTCAGTCAGTCAGTTCACATAGCGGTAGAAGGGAGCTAGATCCCCGAGGGTGCGAAAGGTCCCAAGACCCCGTTAGAAAAGAGTGTATAATGTAGGCTGGGCGGCAGCATCTCAAACATGTGAGCAGTAGTCGAGGCTAGGTCTTATGTGGAAAGTACTTCTTAGCCCTGACCACAAAGCCTTGCTTTTCCCAGTAGCTGCCGCTATAGACTGATGAGCGCTAGGACGCTTTTTGTTCGTTAAGGTACAGTACTGTGTTTTGGAAGCATTAAACTGTACAAGCAGTGACAGCCTCCAGGTTCTCGCCATAAAGTCGTTACTAGTCTTCTTTTCTCCAGCTCAACAGCAGAGATTGGCTTGTCACTCTGAATTCCTGTATGTAGACTGCTGTTGTCATATGGAATGGTTTGATCGTACAGGAAAGGATGATGTCATTGATATTAAGAGGAACAGTGTTGGAGCCAAGACCGATCACTGGGAAACACCCGTATTGACGTTTTGGGATGAAGAGTAGAACCCGTTCACCTAACAAAAAAAAAGTTACCACCTAAAAAGGAATCAGAAATGTTCTTTTCATTGGTAGCTATACCGCCACATAGATCCCATCTTCTCCGGACCCGTTGAAGGGGTCGACTTCACCCCTTGAACGTCAAAAATGCAGTTTTTAGCTTTTCTCACCTAGCTATGGAATGGTTTGATCGTACAGGAAAGGATGAGGTCATTGATATTAAGAGGAACAGTGTCGGAGCCAAGACCGATCCCTGAGAAACATCCGCATTGACGTTTTGGGATGAAGAGGAGAACCCGTTAGTTACGACGGATATCTTGCAGCACGACAGGAAGTCAATCACCCATCTGCAAAGCTTTCATTAGTAGCTATACCCCATTTCAGGAGTATTCATCAGCTGATAGCTGATTAACTAGTAATATCTCAAAATTCCCCATATCGGCACAGGACACATAATTTTGACGGATACGTCAACGTCAGGTAGTCAGAGCAGTATTTCATCTATTTACATAAATCAAATCCAAGCGAATAACCAAAATTTCCGTATTATGTACCGCGGTTTTAATATGGTTCAAGATGACACACGGGATGATGACGTCAGTTACTCGAATCGCTTGAACGCGTTGGTTTTAACCGCCGTTTGTTTCACGTTGTTTATTTTAGAAAAGCGCGTATATAATTTTTGATTATTTTTATCATCACTTAATATTCGGTGCTTTTTCGTCTACAACGGGGTATGGAAAGTTGAAAAAAGAAACCTTTCATAATATTAATGGGAGGAATGTTTTTTTTTTCTGAAAAAATTTTTTACTGGTGGAACCATGGCTTTGTAGCTATGATAACTTTCAATTCTTTAAACTTTTCCGCATTTCAAAGAAAATATTAATTGATTTAGCAGAAATGATGAAAAAGCGATGAAAAAAAGATATTAACAAATATATACAGGTCGACATCATCCAGTGAGTTTATATGGTCATATATTATATTCTTGTGGTATATGGCTATACAGGATACTTTGTTCAGCGTAGGAACTAGATTTAAAGTGTCTCTAACAACAGTAATGATTATAACTAATAAGGTGCTCTCTTATGCTAAAACTCAAGTCAGCCTGTATGTAGGTTCCCAAAAATGAAGCTGAAGTACAATAAAAATATCCAATACCCGGCAAAATTCTAACTTGTCACATGTCAAATAATCACCAGAAATATAAAACTACTCCTGAGTTTGGTAAATACCACAATTTTGAGGTGATAACTATGACATATAACAGTTGATTCATGACGTCACGGATCTTATAACCAAACTGATAACCACACTCGCCTGAACGGATCGGTAAATACCAATCCAAAATGGTAAATACCATTTTGATTTGGTTATCCGCTTGACTTTGATTATAGTTCTCATCTTCTTCGAACCCGTCAAAGGGGTTGATTTCACCACTTGAACGTCAAAAATGCGGATTTTTTTGCTTTTCTCACCTAGCCAGATAAATGTTACAGACTAAAAAGAATCAGGAATGTTCTTTTCACTAGTAGCTATAAGGCCACATAGATCCCATCTTCTTCGGACCCGTCGAATGAATTGACTTCACCTCTTGAACGTCAAAAATGCGGTTTTTTGCATTTTTCGCTTAGCCAGAAAAAAGTTACAGGCCAAACATGAATCAAAAGTGTTCCTTTCATTGGCAGCTATAAGGCCACATAGATCCCAGCTTATTCGGACCTGTCGAAGGAGTTGACTTCACCGCTTGAACGTTAAAAATGCGTTGTTTTGCTTTTCTCACCTAGAAGGAAATAAAGTTACAGGCTAAAAAGAAGTCAGGAATGTTTATTTCATTAGTATCCATAAAGCCACATAGAACTCATCTTCTTCGGACCCGTCGAAGGGGTTGACTTCACCCTTTGAACCTGAAAAATGCGTTTTTTGCATGTTTCACATAGCGAGAAATAAATGTACAGACTAAAAATAAATCAAAGGTGTTCCTTTCATTAGTAGCTATAAGGCCATGTAGATCCCATTTTCTTCGGACCTGACGAAGGAGTTGACTTCACCCCTTGAACGTTAAAAATGAATCAAACGTGTTCCTTTTGCCAGGGCGAGCAGAAAAGAGATCTGAAGTTAACAAAATAGAAATTAGTGGGAAGATCGAAACAGCTAAAAGCATAATTAGTAATAGTTTTGCGGAGGACTTTTCGAATATCTGCATTGTGCAATCAGATGATAGCTGATACTTTTAATCAAAACATCGTATTTACCTGCATTTAAGCAGTTTCACGTCCCTCCAATTCAGCATGAGTAAGGATATAATACTAGAAAACCTACATTCACTTGATCTTAGAGGACTTATTTTAAACTGGGTAGAATCATAGTTATCAAACAGAAGTGTATTGTAAGAATTGATAAATTAATGTCTCACAGATACCCAGTTCTCCTTGGTGCACCGCAAGGATCCGTGTGCGGACCGTTGTTATTTATACTTTTTATAAATGACCTTCCAAATTTCATTTTGAAGGGTAAAGGGACAATGTTTGTTGATCTTACTACAATCACGTTTTATGATTATTCTGTTGAAGAACTTTATTTAAACACCTTGATAGTTTTTGAAGAGATATTTGGTGCGAAAGCAATAAGTTGGTATTAAATAAAATCAACATTCACATTAAAAAAATGATTCCTCCAGTCACCACAACAGCTTCAAATAATCAACTCGGATTGCAGTCCCTAGATAATATTAAGGTCGTCCTGGTTTGATGCAGATATGACTTGAATCTCAGATATAGAATATTTGCTCCAATTTAAACAAAATCTTCTTTGCATTATTTCATATGAAACAGTACTTAGATGAAAAATCTATACTATCTATTTTATATGCATTTATATACGTATATAACCAGTCGTCTAATATTCTATGTTGGGGTAGAGTCACTGGTATAAAGGAGTCTTCGTTTCATAAACACAGACTTTTATTATTAATCTCACTTTCAGGGAAACTTGCAGGCATGTTTTTATCAACAACAAGCTGCTCAGTGTACCTTGTATTTATGTATATATAAATACGTAAATCATGTTAAAGGTAAAATTAACAATGTTGTATATTATAATACAATATTCTAACTTACACTAGGTCACTGCAGTATAATTTTTTCGCAATGTATAATGCTCTATCTAGATATTTGAGGGATATTGATAGCTACTGTGACTTGAAAATAATGGTTTTTAATCATCTAACTGAAAAATGTTATTATTCTATTAACGAATTTTTAAAATATGGATGTTGATAAACATGTTTTTTCTTTAAATATTATTATTTATCAATTATTTTAATGTGTTATATACCTGCGTGTGCCTATGTATGTGTATATGTAGGTATAAATATTGATGGACAACTACAATTTGAAATTTTAATGCATTATTGCATATTTTTTGAATATATCTTCGGATAACACATTTTTGCATCTTCGTTCTTTTTTTGTGACTTACCATTTGAACCATGTATTTGTATTTTGGATAAATAAAATACTACTACTACCATCTCACAATTTACCTCGATACTAGGAGAGCTGTGACATGGAGTGTTCCAGTTTTTGTCAAATTTCTTAAGGACCCTGATTATTTTCAACAATTTTACATAGCGCACGGAACTAGTTGTACTGAATTCTAAAATCATAAGCTCATTAGTGTTTTTTACTGAGATGTAAGGCGAACATTGTCACAAACCTCCTCTGCCTCCTCCCCTAAATACGACTCATGCTGTTTGCCCCATGTACGATGTGGAACAATGTTCTAAACTTCTCTTCTGAAAATGATACATTTTCAATGTCGAGCGTTTATATATACATTTATGTTTACTGGGTATCTGGAAACCAGTTTGAATTGAAATTAATATACTATTAAGCTAATTTTCATGAACATAGCAAACCATGTACTCGTTTTATTAAACTGTTTAATTACTTTAGGTAATTTAGTTTAAGTAGAAAAGCTACATTTAAAACAATAACTTATTTTAATAAAAACAATTAAACTGTTTTTCTGAATCTAGGACTCGGCTCTTCATTCGTGAATGATCGGGTGTTTGCGACAGACGCAGCGCCGGAGACGCTCTTCGAGCTCCTCAGTTTTATTTGTGATTTTCGGGAGGAGCATCACATTCGAATGTTGCCGTTGTTGGTGTAGTAGCTTTGATGTGGATCAATTATGGTGATCAAGTGAAATACTCGAGCATAATGCCAGCCATACACCATCCTTCCTATCGTCCGATGGGCATGACACTGCAGACTTGATACAATCTACAGTTCGTCTATATACACCACCCAAGATCATTTTGAACAGTGGTTAATGAAAAGAAAACAGTTTACTCATACAAATTAATTAGAAGAATTGAGGATTACGCCAAAAGATTATCGAAATTATTTACGAATGAATGAAGAAACTTACATGAAACTTCTATCGTTAGTGACTCCGCTAATTGGGAAGCAAGACACTGTCATGAGAAACCCTATATCTACACACGAGAGGCTAACAGTGACTTTACGATTTCTAGCAACAGGGAGAACATATGATTGCCTAAAATTTTCGACAATAATATCGCCTCAATCTTTAGGGCGAATTATACCAGAAACCTGTAATGCTATTTTCAAAGTTCTCAAAAGGATTATATACCGGTAAGAGTATTTAGAAACTAGCTGATTGCCGCGGCTACCGTGTTAAGAAGTATCGAGTACTTCATCTATTCACATCATACTTACCAAGTTTCACTAAAATCCGTTCAGCCGTTGAGACTTGAAAGAGGATATATCCAGTACAGGTATTTTTAATTAAATTTGTCTTTTGCAGTTTCCCGATACTTCCGCTAAATGGAAAGAAATTGCAATCCTCTTTGAAGAAAGGTGGTATTTCCCTCAATGCCTGGGAGCAATAGATGGGAAACACATTGATATAATCCCACCTGCTGACAGCGGTTCTTATTACTACAACCACAAAGGACGACACAGCATGGTGCTCATAGCAATCGTTGACGCAAGATACCGATTTATAATGGCAGATTTTGGAACAAATGGAAGAGTTTCTGATGGAGGAGTATTACAAAACACCAAGTTTTTCGAAAAATTGCATAATAACACGTTAAATATTCCAGATCCTGAAAGCATCGAAAGTAACTCAAGATATCTGCCGTATGTGTTTGTTGCTGACGATGCGTTCCCATTAAGAACCGATATGCTAAAGCCATATCGCCAAGCTGATTTGGACAGCCACGACAAAAGAATATTCAACTACAGATTATCTCGCGCAAGACGTATCGTAGAAAACGCATTTGGCATATTATCTTCACGATTTCGCATTTTTCATACTCAAATTAATATAGAACCAGATAATACATATATACAAAAGGTAGTGATGGCTACCATAGCTTTGCACAACTTTTTAATTGAGCATGTGCCTTATTCATATACACCGTCAAGATGCTTTTATCGAGAAAATATCAACAATGGGACTGTTGTCAACAGTGGGTATAATACTACAAGGTCAACCATGGAAAATTTAGAAAGACGAAATCAAGGAAATCTGTTTAATAATGCTAAAATTGTCAGACAAGAATACCAAAATTTCTTTGTCAATGAAGGCAAAGTGTCGTGGCAGGATAATTTTGTTTACAACACAATTTATTTTATAAGTTTTTATTATTAAAGAGATTAGCATCAAAATATTTTCTTATTATTTTTATTATTTAATTATTACCTACTCTGGCATAAAATTGGTGAGTAAAGATGCTGCAGAATCTTGAGGTATTGACAATAAAATCTCCGAGCCCAGGGCTTCGTAGTTTTGCGAGAAATGTTCAGTATTCCGCATGTTTTGTGAAGAATGACTGGGAGATGTAATTTGATGTGATGGCGAGTTTTTTTGTTGGTTATACTGCATCCTTGGAGATGGGCTTGTTCGATACGACGAATGCATGGGAGATGTAATTTGATGTGATGGTGAGTTTTTTTGTTGGTTATACTGCATGTTTGGAGATGGGCTTGTTCGATACGACGAATGAATGGGAGAAGTAATTTGATGTGATGGTGAGTTTGTTTGTTGGTTATGCTGCATATTTGGAGATGGGCTTGTTTGATACGACGAATGAATGGGAGAAGTAATTTGATGTGCTCCCAAGTGTGTTTGTTGGTTATGCTGCATGTTTGGAGATGGGCTGGTTCGATACGACGAATGAATGGGAGAAGTTATTTGATGTGATGACGAGTTTGTTTGTTGGCTAAGCTGCATATTTGTTGAATAAGACGACATAACTTTATATTCTAGAGTCAAATTACCCCACTCAACTTCAAATAAGTCATCGTTTATTAGTTTTTCAGCGAGTATTCTTTGTTGCCTTGGCAAGCCCCGTAATTTACTCACAACAGACTTGCAATAAATATCGTGACGATCTTCCCTAACTTCACCCCTGGGATGCTTAAAATGGTCATTCACAGATTGAAGAACACTGTTGACGAGACTGTCATCATTTCTTTTTTTTTTGGTTTCGGCCTATTTGCTGAGTTGCCTACTGTAGATCCATGATTTTCCGATTGTTCACTTGGTTGCGGGGATTGTTCTTTTAGTTGCGAATCATTCTTAGAATCCTGAAACAAAACAATTCGATTGACTTATGGTAGTGACCGACCAAAGAAGATCATTAATATTCTGCATTTTCTGCACTTAGTATAATGCTCTATCTGCTGTTCTCCATCCGTCTCTTCTTCTTTGTCATCAATAGTTGAAATAGAAGCTCTTGCTGAATGTTGATCATTTATGAAGGATAATTCTTTGTAGTACCAAAGCTTAGGTTCATACACCGCATCTGCACTAGCGCCATACCGCTTGGAATCCTCCACTTTCTTTTTTTCTTTGTTGTATGTCGTTCTCAATGAATTGAGTTTTTTAAAACAATACATACATACACTTTCCATAAACACGGTTCACTTTGATATATAGAAATAAACTCCAGGAGCATTTCGCGATACCGGGCCGTATTTTGCGACATGACGTCTACCACCGACAAAAATCTTGACTCTACTGAACTCACAGTTCACGCACGCCGACCGCCATACACGCTCCAATCGGCATGATCCAATCAGCATCATCATGCCAAAAAAATTGAAATTTGATTATGCCATCAAATTTAACTGTCATGCCAATCCACGCCTACACACGATCAGTTCTAACTGATCCAGGGAAGTCACTGCTGACGTGACGGAATGGGGAGAACTTTGAAATTTTATTTATGCAGCCATATTGAGGTCAATGTATGGCATTTTATATGTGTGACCTTATTCAGTTTTAGGTTTCCCTTACCCTACTTTCTGAATTTAAAACAAAGAATTGATTCTAATGAGTAATGGTATATATTATATCCTGTTTCTGGACAAATAGACAAATAGTTGGTAAAATTAATACCATAGATAAAAGTTCACAATAGATAAAAATAAAACATATCGAATTTCGTTTAGGTTATAAAATTCGTAAATTTTTATTTTGATTTGAAAGCATCAACTAACATTATCAAGTTTTCCGTACTTTTTGATATCTATAAGGTTTGCCAGAGCACAGTTATAATATGCATTATTCAGTTAAATGCAATTTGTTCTTTTAAATTCTAAATATATATCCAAATATCCTTTTAAATCTAAATTTAACACTAGGCAAACACTTTACCTAAACTATCTAAACAAATTTAATAAATGTAATTAAATTGTTTACTTGTAGCAGGTAAACTCATTTCGATAGTTCATTAATTCTGCATACATTGGTTTGAACAATCTAGGTAAACGGTTTAATAAATATAATTAAACAATTGCATTTTGATTAAGTTAATATAGTTTCATAGATTCAAGCAAACTGTTTTAGAAATCGGGAGTTTAATTGAAATAATTAAAATTGTTAGCTGTCACTTGGCTAGTTAATTTTTTAATAGGCCTAATCGGTTTAATTACATTTTTTATTAGTATGTGTGAAATATGTACTAATAGGTACGAAGAATTACTGGGGCTGGAAACGTATAAATATACTTATGCAAAAAATGAGGCGCACCTCCCCACCCCCTACAACTCTCAACCAAAGTTTTCAACCTTTACAAAAATAATCCGGAAATGATAATTTAAAACATCAAGAGAACTTTGAGTGATTTTTATTTTTTCCTTCGTCGTTCACCCATAGGTTCACCGCCACTGGGATGGTTTTTAAACATTGCCAAGCTTTTTCGTCCTTGGCATAGTACTCGTAGTAATCTTATGTGTCAATTTCTTTAAAATTAGACTAGTACTTTCCAAGTTATAGACGGGCCAAGCATTAGCGGACACACAGACCAACAAACAGGCCGACAGAAATGAGTGACAGCGATTTTCATTTTCAACGTTCAAAAAACGTCATATCTCAGTTTCGAACATTTTGCGACTACAATAGAGGAAAGGCACTAAGTTTGAGACAAGCGCTTAATTTGAGACAGCATCTTCTAGTAATACCCAAAAGTTGTGAACTAAGACGCAGTAGTATCCTACATGTGTTTACAGCTTAGTTTTGCACATCGTTTGCTGTTACTTCTTGAGAGTTAAACGTAGTTTTAATAGGGCGAGAAAAGTGATTACTAAAATTAAGGTAAGTTATTTAGAACAATTGTCTGATATAAATTTAGTAGTTTACAAATATATACCTTATTTATTTTCTTTTACAATATTTTGTTTTTATTAGGTATATAACCTAAATATATGCTTGTGTAAACTTTTTAACGGAAAATTCCTATTTTGAGATACCCGAATTTTCCTAATCTGAGACTATCTCAAATTAGGGCCCTGTATCAAGATGCAGATGCCTAGAAACACAAGAGTAAGGAGATGGATTATTTAAAAGCCTCAAAAAGATTCGGATAGATACCTTCCCCCTCCAGCTTCAGAATCCAGCGGAAGCCTTAAGTTGGATGATTCATCTTCAGACGAAAGCAACATGACATCGATGCTAAATGTTCATTTTGGACGGGTCGATTTTCCGAAGATAAGAAAGGTGAAAATGGGCAAAATATAGCCATTGTATGAATATATAGCGTTTTGAGGATTGGTCGTTAAACGGCCAAATGAACAAGAATGCTCAACTTTGATAGTTTGCCAGTCTCTTTCATCAGTTCGTAAAGCATAATGTTTGGCACATGTTAGCCCTTCTGAGAAAAAAGTTACCTACGGACATGTATAACAAAAAATTAAATGACCTTCCTCCTCTCCCTGAGAGGAATTGCTGCAGGCGCACATGATCGCGTGAATGACGATATCGGCCTTCACCATGCACGGTACATACAGCCCAAGCAAGCCACAGCACCACAGTAATGCGGAAGCAATTGTCGACAATTTTTAACCCCTGCAAAAGATGAAGTTTGAGCGATTTTTATTTTTTTTGTCCGCCGCCTCCTGACTCATTTTCAAAAACTACAAAGCTTTTGCGTCCTTGGCTTAGCAGTAACTTTTTGAAAAAAAAAAAAATCGAAATCCGAGCGGTACTTCTCAAGTTATAGGTAGTTATAATATTAAAGGACAGACAGATAGACAGGCAGATCGTTAGATACAAACCGACGGAAACGAGTGACATGGTTTTTCGTGATGTACATGTCATATAATATCCAAAAAACATATATCACTTTCGGAATTTTTCACGATTACAATATTTCTCCGCCGGTGGGTTCCGGAAATAAAATAGCGACTTTAGCTGTTATTTTGAATTCTGTACAGTTTTCAAAAATCTGGTCTATTCATTCCAATCTCATGGGATTCATCTACTACAATCACTTCTACAAGGAAACGTCCAAGCTTCACCAGCAATGGCTACCGCATGCAGGAAACGACATAGACATTAAATTAAACTAATTAACTTTGTTGTCCGTAGGTACGCATAATTTAATATTGTAACAGCAAGAGTTAACTGAATTTAACTGTGCTACGCTAATGCGGACTAGAATGTTAATGCTTCTTAATCCCTTGTAAACGGATGGTGGCTGCAAGATACAGATACGCAACGGTGTATGTCATGACGGCAAAATGATCTTGTTTCGGCTCACCGTCATTTATACAGGATTTAGATAAAGTACTTGGCCAAACATCAAGAGGTAATTCCGTGAGTGATTGTAAGAAAGTTCATATAAACATATAGTTCCGCCAATACTTTTTATAGATGTCAAACTTTATTGAAATTCAATCTTCTAGAATAATCGCAACTACTTTTTAAGCTGGCTTTAATGTTTATTGAAATTTAGTAAGAATAGGCATATTACCAGAAATATAGATCAAATCAAATAAGAAAGACGTGCCAACAGAAACTATAACATCCCCCCAAAGGATATTTTCAACTAATTTAGGTCCGACGATCTAGTTTGCCAGGCCAGATTGCAGTTTAAATAAAGCGTTTTTTCTTAAATGATCTTAGTTAAATTTTCAGCGATACCTTTGTATATAAATTAGTTAGAATTCAATGAACATACAGCGGTTAAAGCTTATTGTGATTTTTTTTTCGAATTCACGTCAGGTATCATCCGTTGAAGTTTGGTCAGGTACTTATTGACACACTGTATATAAAGGTAGTCGTATATAGCCTTATAAGTCAACGCCAAACAAAGTGGCGTGCACGTCATCACGATAAAAATTCCCCGACATAATGCCTAGGTTTCTATCACAAACAATTGCTCTATTGCAGTTTCATATTAATGTGATATATAAATTGTAAAATGGTCATTACTCTCTTATTATGGTTAATAGTCATATAAACATTGTTATTAAAATATCACATAAGTTGCTTTCTGATAAATTTAGACGCATTATGCGAAATAAAATGTTTTGCAAACGCTCCAATCACTTATCGACATGTAAACGCACTAAACCGATTTCGCAGCGTTGACACATTGTCACATTGAAACTTATTTAAACTGGGAACTGACATTTGTATTAATTTTGACACTGAATCAATTTGTGGCATTTCAAATCTTTATAAATCCTTTGGCCCCGCATACTGTAAATCAACAACTGTTTGTTTCAAAACAAAATTATTCATTTTACGAGCAGATAAAGGCAATTTTGGTATATAAAGATGCCCAAACAGTTAAATAGTCGGTGTAAGGAACTCGTGGCCTCGTTAATGCACTACTTTGAGCAAGAAAGGGACAACAACGGGCCTTTGTTGCCTTTAAATGCTGTTCAAGAGGTAGGTTACTAATAATTATATGTAATGTATATTAATAATAGTGAAATTTTATTTCATTTTTTGTAGCGTGTTGCTGCTGCTTTAAAAATTAGTTTAAGGACAGTTAGTCGTATTTCCGAGGGTGTGAAAAGTGATGCAAATTTAGAATCGCCCAAGAAAAAGCGGAGTTATATTAAACGTGTAACCAACACAGCGACATTGGATACAAGTGCCATTCGAGAAGTGATCTATAATATGTATCACAAAAGTAAGATCTTATTATAATAACTTATCAGAAATTTGCATTAATTTGTTAACTAAATTATAATGTCATATTACACATGGTTTCAGAAGAACAAGTTACGATACAAACTTTATGGTCTCGATTAAGAGATAGGGCATTATTTGATGGTAGTGCCACGTCTTTAAGGCGGTTGCTTAGAGATCTTGGATTTAAGTGGCTTAAGGACAATCCGCGACGAGGGCTCATGGAACTACCAAGTATAGCTTTGAAAAGGGTGGAATTTCTAAGGCAATACAATCAAGCCAAGGTTGAGGCCTTATACCAGTTTGTCTTCCTCGATGAAACTTGGATATTTCAAAATGGGACCATAGGTCGCTCTTGGCAAAATGGAAACCAAAAAAGCGTGAAAGCTATTAAAACAGATGGTAAAAGGTATGTACTTTTACACAATTTGCACTATAAAATTTAAAACTAATATATTTTAGATACATTATATTACATGCTGGAAATGAA